TCTTCACCTGGAACCTGCCCCCTCCTGCTCCTGCCACGGACAATACCTAATTATGCATATCTTGTTCTTTTTTTTTCCTTTTTTTGTTGTTTGTTTTTAATTGTCATTCTTAAGGACACTGGTAAGCACAGACTGGGCCCGCAGACCCTTAAGTCTCCTCCCAGCACCTGGAAGGAAGAGGGACGGGAAAATATTAACCTGAGCCCTCGTCCACCTCAGCTCCCTCTTCCTTCCTGGGGGCTGCAGCTGGCTGAGGAGGAGCTGGAGGGGCAGCAGTGTCCCGTGTCCCCTCAGCCCCTCCTTGGCTGTGCTGGGCCCCAGCTGGGGCAGGTGCTTTGCACAGGGGGCCCAGCGCTGCTGGAGGGGCGGCAGGAGGGGATGCTGGAGCTGGCAAGTTCCTTGGCCTGGAAACCTCCGCCCCTTCCCTCTCCCTTGCTCAAAATTGAGTTAGACTTAGTTGAATCTGTTGGAGATCGGAGGAAGGGAAAGAGGCTCGTTGCTAGTGTTTTGTAATTATTTCTGTTTTAAAGCAAAGGGACTTCCCTCCCAGCTAGGTGTCACAGGCACATCAGCGAGACGCAGAGCCGAGCTGGCTGCTCTGCAGGGAACATGTCCGTGGGATCCTATGGACGTCTGAAGGTGCTTCACTGCTTGGCTGCAGGCAGGGGAGGGAGAGGAACTTGGGATCAACTATTTTTTCCTTTTTTTTTTTTTTTTTTTTTTAAATAAGCAGGGGCTGTGGGGAGGGAAAACCAACCAAGTAAAAAGAAACCACTCACATTCCTTCAGCCTCCCCGCCCCAAGCATCAAGTGGTGGCCGCAGCGGGTGCACGGTTAGCCGTGCGCATTTTCTGGCCTGGCCCCAGGTGCAGGAAAGGAGGAACCTGTTCTATTTCCATAGGGTCCAAGCTCTAGGAGCCACATTGTAAGGGCTGTGCATTTGTTTGTACCTCGCCAGGTGAAAACACAAGGTCTAGTTGTGCTCTGAGGAGCTGTTGGCACCTGCGTGGTTACGGGATGGAGGCCTGCGGACCACAAAATCTCATCATCCTGCTCGCTCCTGGGGTCGCGATCGCTGTTGGGTGGCAGGGGGCAAATCCACACTGAAGAACCCACGCTGTCAAAGGGATACTGCCCAGATCAAATTACTTGTCAGAGGACTTCCTTGCTAAGTACTCTCTTGGGCTGTGTTATTAATTCTAGCTTAAATTATCTTAAGTGCTAGATCGTCAAACCCAGCGTGATCTCCATTATTTATTCCATTTGCTGCAATCCACCCAACCTTGATGTTTAAATTAAACCAGTCAAATCCACTTTTCATTCCTTCTTTTCACTTTTTTTCTCCAGGCGCTTGCTTGGTGTTCATGTTTCAGATGTATATTTAAATTAATTTAACAAAAAAATCCATGTTTTTAATGTTTGAAAGAAAACCACCCCTGTTTCAATGTCCTTGGGTTAGTCTTTTTTTCCAAACCTGTGCGTTGAGGGCCTTCTTCCTAGATGTGTCTCCTTTCTCTTAGAAAAAAAAAGTTGTTCTGTGGCTGATTCGTTACTTGTCACTTTGCTTCTGTGAATCACTTTCCTTTTTTATGACTTTTCCTTGTACCTGGGAAGGAATCTGTGCAGAGATGATCTCTGAGTCCGATAGATGTCTGTGGTGTGTGTAGTGCCGTGATGCTGCTCTTGCTCTGGATTTCCTCTGGGTGGATTAAAAGAGAAAGATTTGTGGTTTTCTGTTTTCTTTTTTCTTCTTTTTTTTTTTTTCCTTGCTGCTTTGTGATTCACAAAGAGGGTCCCTCAGAGAAACCCTGCATCTAAAGCAGGGGGGTTCTGCTCGCCCTTCTGCACGGGGATTGCCCCTTAAAGCTGGTGACCCCGGGGACCCCCCCCTTGTGCTGTCTGAGTGTTGGCAGCTGGGGGGGAAACTCGGTGCAGGTGCAGGGCTGAAATCGAGGGAAAGTTCCCCTTCTTTTAGATGCTTTTAAAAACCTCTTCATGGAACTGCTCCCTCCTCCTGAAACCTCCAGCTCCTCTGCTGCCTCACGGGGAAATTGAAAGAAGTCAGCCTGAGCTTTGCAAAAATAAGGAAGGGAGGTGGGATGCACACCAGAAAGCAGCAAACTACCCCAAATCCCACTTGCTGAGAGGCCGACGTTTATGGTTTTCCAAACCCAGGTGTAAGTTTGGGGGGGCTCGGAGCTCTTTTCCTCCCTGCTTTCCCCACCCTGCATTTCGGAGGGTGAGGGCTGGGGGGCACCTGAGGGGTTGGGGAGGTGGCAGTGGCTGTGACCCTGCAGGCTGTCACCAACCAAAAGCCAAATACAGGTTGAAGTGGGGGGATTCCAGTCAGTTAATCACCTATTCATAGAAACCTCTAAATGTTTATTTTTTTCAGTATTAAGAAAGAAAAGCAAACAAACGTGCTTAAAGCAACACAGCTCTGCACGCCCTGGCCAGGTCTCTGCTCCCCTCTCTGCAGGTGACGTGTCCCCAGGGCAGGGGACAGCAGAGGTGGCACCTGGAGCAACCTAACCCCATTGCTCCAGCACGGGGTTCCCCTTGGCCACAGGCCCCTTTCGGTCATACTTTGTCCTGTGTCACCTTGTCCCTGCCCTGGCACTGGATCTGGAGCTTTTTGGTGCTTAGTGCCTGGTCTGGGCAAGGAAAGGGGGGAAATGCGCTGAGAAGTGCAGTGCCTGGAAAGCGAGGAGGAAATGTCCTAAAGCAGGGGGAGGAAAATCCTACAAAGCAAAAGGGAAAAGTCTGGGGAAATGAGAGAGAAATCCTTAAAAGCTGCAGTGAAATATCCTGGAGGGTGACAGGGAAATTTCCTGCAAGACGAGGTAGGAATGCCCTAGAAAGCTCTAGGGGGAGGAATTCGTCACAAGCAAAGGGGCAAATTTCCTGGGAATCAGCAGGAATTTTGTAGAAAGCAATGGGTGGTGTGCCTAGAAAGTAATGGGGGAGCTAACAGGGGCATTTCCTCAAAAACACAATGGGAATTCCTGGAGGATATAGAAAACCACATGGGGTGTCTCCTGGGAAGCAAAGCGGAAAAAGTGCTAGGAAGCAACAATGACATTTCTTTAAAAAAATAAAAATAAAAAATGTCTTTCTGAAAACAAAAACAAAACAAACAAAAAATCTTTGGAAAATTGGTAAAATTCTTGGAAAGCAAAGGGGGAAAATGCTTAGTAAGTGACATTTTGTTGGAGCATGAAGGGGAAATTTCCTGGAGCAAAAGAGGCTAGGAAGCAAGGGAGGAGATTCCCAAAAACCAATGGGAGGGAAATGTCCTGCAAAGCCACGGGGAACATTCCTGGAAGACAAGGAAGGGGTCCCTGGGAAGTAACGGGGAAATTTCCTGCAGGGCAACAGAGAGGGACAGCGGGGGAACTTTGTACAATGCACTGTGGGGAAATCCTGGCAAGGAAGGAGAAGAAATTATTGGGGAGCAAAGAAATTATTGGGAGCCTTTCAGCACTTCCTCATAAGCAACAGGGAGAAGTTCCTGGAAAGGAGGCGGAAAATTCCTCACAAGCGAGAAGTGTAAAGGAGAAAGGGGCCCAGAGCAGGTGCTAGGGCCCCAGGGTGTCAGCACTCGAGGCCTGGGGCAAGGCCTTTGCCTGTCTGCCCCCAGGGGCTTCTTGGTTTTAAATGCTCCCCCCAGAGCTGGGCCAGGCTCAGGGAGAAGCGAGTGCTCAGCCCTACTGCCGCCTGCCCTGAGCTGTGCCATTCCCTATTTTCCCCTCGTCTCACGCGTGGCCTCCCCAGTCCCGGAGGTGCAGGGGGGGCTCTGTTTCTCTTTTCCGTGACGGGCCCCCGGCACTTACTGGAAACCAGCTGCAGCCCGCCCGGGCGCCGCTTCCCCTTTCCAGCACAGAATTTGCCCCCAGCCTCCGTCCCCCTCCCAGGGGCTTGCGGGGCCGCAGCAGCTGCAGGCAGGCACCCCGTCAGAAATGTCCCCGTGGGGATGCACAGCATCAGGCCTGATTTATTATTTTCCCCTCTTATTTTTTTACGTTTAACCCTGGTATTTGCATCAAGGTGGCAAGAGGCTCTGTGGTGCTGCAGCCGTGCCGTCCTCGGGCTGTGCGGGGAGCCCTCACCCCGGGAGCTCCATTTCCCCGCTCACGCCCTTAGCGTGCAAACCCAGGCAGCCCGAAAGGAGAAGGCACGCAATAAATATCGAGCAAGCAAACATAAAAAAAGAGGCACGGGAGTTTCCAGCCTCAAGGTTGAGCCCTGCGTGCCTGTGCCAAGCCACCAGTGCACCTGGAAAGCCCCGGTGGCGGCGGGCGCAGCCAGACCCGGGCGTTTTGGGGCATCCAGGGGCCGGCCCCGTTACTCCATTTTGGGGTGCTGCCCTCCCTTGCCTTGGCTCTTTGGGGCTGGAGCAGCCTGTGGGGAGCGAGAGTGGCCGGCAGCTGTGCTGGATGCGGAAACCACAGCCACGGCACCGAAACCGGGACCGGGAGCCGCCAAGGCCAGGCCAGCACCGGGCACCCCAAGCCCACCCCAGCACAGCAGGGCCTGATCCTGCCCGGGACCCCCCCCAGCCCTCATCACCTCCGTGCCTGCAGCCCCCGGGGGTGCAGCTCTTACAAGTGCAGCTTTCAGCCTGGATTTGCTGAGTTGTTGTTGTTGTTTGAGGGGTGGAGTCACAAATATTGCGGCACGGCACTGGTCAGCGCAGTAATTACCTCGGAGGGCACTAATTGCTTTCAGGTGGGCACAACGGGGCTGGCAGCTGCTCCTGCTCACCCCCTGCCATCACAACGGTGGTGCCTGGGGGGCCGTGCACCCCCATCCTGAGCCAAGCCCCCTGCACAGTGGGGATGGGGGTGGGGAGGGGAAGGGGGAGACCCTGTGAAAGGGGACCCCAAGGGTTGCAGCTCGGTGCCGTGACCCCCCAGCCTGCCACCCATCCTCCCCCCCCAGCCACCCAAGCATCCAGTTTCAGTTTCGGGAGCCCCACGTGATTTCCAGGAAAGCCGCTCCCACTGTCGATCCTATAAAAGCCGGCACCCGCGGAAGGGAACCCCGATACCAACAAGTTGGGGGGAAAGGCACCGGGACCCCCCAGCCAGTCCTGCTGCTGCAGGGGGCTCCAGGAGGGGAGCGAGGGCAGCGGGGACACCATGGCAGCGGCGGAGAGCGAAGGGTAAGCGGCAGCCTCTGCCCACCGGGCAGGGGGCCCAGCACCGGGCCGGGGGGCTGCGAGCCCCGAGCCCCCCGCGGTGACGGCCCCGTGCCCCTGCAGGGACGCCCAGAAGCTGCGCTTTGGGCCGTGGCTGCTGAAGGCCATCGACAGCGGCTTGTACCCGGGGCTCTGCTGGATCAACCCGGCCCAGAAGGTCTTCCGCGTCCCCTGGAAGCACAACGCCAGGAAGGATGTCACCAGCAGCGACATCGAGATCTTCAAGGTGGGTGGGAGGGAGGGGAGAGGCGGCCGCCCCGCCTGGGCCGTCGAGGTTGGATGGGAGGGGGTGCAGGGAGCAGAGACCACAAAGCCTGCAAGGGAGGTGAGATGGAGGCCACCAGCAGCGACCTCAAGTTCCTCAGTGTGGGGGGACGGGCTGACCACGAGGTGGGGGCACAGGTGTAGGCCAGCAGTGACCGTGAGGTCTCCACGGTGGGTGAGATGGGCGGGCTTGGGGAGGGGGCACCATTGTCCCCCACACCGGGTGCCCCCGGGGCCGGGGTCCCCGCGCTCACCCCCGTGCCCCCCAGGCCTGGGCACAGGCCAGCGGGAGGTACGAGGGGAGCCCCGAGGACCCTGCCAAGTGGAAGACCAACTTTCGCTGCGCCCTGAGGAGCACCCACATGTTCGTGACGCTGGAGGACAACTCCAAGAACAGCGACGACCCTCACAAGGTCTTCGCCGTCACCTCAGGTGAGCCCAGGCCCGCAAGGAGCAATTGGGGAAGGGGAGGCCGAGCTCGGGGCGCCCCCCTCACCCCATTCTCCTTCCAGCTGCCCCCCAGCACGGCCAGGACGCAGGGTTTGGGGTCCCTGTGGCGGACGCCCCACCGCAGCAGCAGCCACAGCAGCAGCCACAGGTACCGGGGTCAGCATGGCAGGAGGGGAAGGAGCCAGGGCCTGCATCCCCCGTCCCCCAAATCCTTGGGGTGCTCCAGAACTGGAGCCCAGCACCCACCCCGTGCCCCAGGCCCTGTCAGTAAAGCCCCTTCCTGCTTCCCTTTGCAGCTGGAGCTCAACCACCACGATGTGGCCCCACAAATCGTCCCCCGAGGTAGGCACCGGTCCCCCAGCTCGTGGGGGGGGCACCTGGGTGGGTTTGCCCCAGGGCCGAGCCACCGCGGGGTTCGGCTGGCTGGCGGGGGCTGTAATTTGGGGTCGCCGATGGCTGGTAAAGCTCCCCCCGCCGTGCCCCCCCAGGCAGCACTACTGCTCCCACCACGCAGTCAATGACGCTGGAGGACCTGGACACGCTGCAGTGGGTGCTGCAGCACTGCAACATCTCCAACACTGACCCCACACCGTCCCCCTGGCCGCCCGCAGGTGAGACTGGGACCTGCTTGGGGCCAGGGGGAGGCGCAGAGGGGTGGGGGTGACCCTGTCCCCACCTGTGCTGTCTCCTCAGGGGATGTCCTGCACAATGAGGATGCTCTGCTCCAGCCCGGCCCTGGCCAAGGCGGCTGCCTCCCCCCGACGGCGTTTCAGGAGTGGGGGCCCGCGGCGGAGCAGCCCCCGCTGGGTGCCTACGGCCCCTCGGAGCACATGCTGCTGGGGGAGCAAACCATCCCAGGTGGGTGCTGCAGGGCTCCGGACACGGGAAACCAACATAATGGGGCGAGAAGTGAATGGGGGGGGATGTTCCCAAATTGTGAGGCTGACGCTGTCCCTGTGCTGTCACAGGAGCCGTGCCGCTGCCGTGCCACACGCACCCTGCCGAGGCAGAGCCTGCTGTCCCTGCACTGTCCCCGGGCGAGGAGCTGCTCTTCCACCCCAACACCAGCCCCGCGCCGCCCGTGGATGACACAGGTGAGGGGCTGGAGGAGGGAGCGGGTCGATGTTTTTGGGGGCTGCTGCTGACCGCTGCTTGTCGCAGGGATCCCCCCACACCTGGATGTCACCATCTACTACCGGGGGAAGACAGTCCACCAGGAGGTGGTGAATGACAGGCAGTGCCTGCTGACCTACCAGTCCCTGGACCCGGTGGTGGTCCTGCAGCCGGGGCAGCACGTCTTCTTCCCCAGCCCCGAGGGCCTGGCCGATAGCAAGCAGCGGCAGTACACCGAGGAGCTGCTGCTGGGCGTGGGGCTGCGGCTGGAGCAGCGCGCCGGCAAGCTCTTCGCCACCCGCCTGAAGAAGTGCAAGGTCTTCTGGGCTCTGTCGCAGCAGCTCGACAACGGGAGACCCCCACCCAACCTCCTGTGCCGGGACCAGGAGACCTCCATCTTCGACTTCCACAGGTTTTGCACAGGTAGGGAAGGAAGGGTGGAGGTGGTGGGAAGGGGGCAGCCCCAGGCTGGGCACCACCCGACCCCTCCCGTCCCTTTTGTCCCCGCGGTGCCCGCTGCCGTCTCTCGGGCTCGCCCCAAAGCCAAGCCCGGCCTTTGCTTTGCAGACCTCAGGGACTTCCGCGACAACCGCAGGGAGCGCTCCCCCGACTTCACCATCTTCCTCTGCTTTGGGCAGTGCTTCTCCAACTGCAAGCCCAAGGAGTCCAAGCTCATCCTGGTGAAGGTGAGCGGCCCCGAGGGGGCTGACGGCCACCCCTACAGCCTGGGGAGGTGTTCCTGGGGGCCGCGGGAGGTGGGAAGCTGGGGGGGGAGCCCTCAGGGGCTGGGGGCGATGTGGGGCTGGGTACACGTGGAGTGGGCCCCTCGGGGACAGGGGTGCCCTGGGTGCCTCCTTCCTCAGCTCTAGGGGGGCGGGGCCACAAGGGCTGCCTGCAGGACACGGTGCCCCTTTTCTGCCCCAGCTGGTGCCCAAGTTCTGCGAGCACTGGTACGAGCAGGTGCAGCGGCAGGGAGCCTCCTCCCTCAACAGCGGCAACGTCAGCCTGCAGCTCTCCGACTCCTTCAACCTCTACGAGCTCATCGAGCAGTACAACATGCAGATAGACTGACACCCACTGCCCCTGCCCCCTCCGGCCTCTTCTGCGGCGCTTGCAGAGTGTTTTCGGGTGCTGTTGCATCTGGACGGACTGATCTCCCCGCTGCGCAGCACCTGCTCTGGCCGCAGGTGCTGACTGAGAATTAGCAGAGCACACCTGGGGCCATGCAGGCCAGCCACGTCCCACCGTCCAAGAGAAAGCAGCTCTAAAAGCTCCAGAAGTGGTTGGCAGAGCCTCTGCTCTGGCTGTGCAGCACTTTACCCCTGCAGCAGCGGCGGGGCATCAGAGGTGGGCTCCCTCCTCCTCCACCCCCAAGGACAGTTTCACCGGCCGGTGCTGGAACTGACACTCAGCTCCTCTCAGCCAGTACGGGCAGCTGCTAACCTGGGTTTTCGTAGTGTGGTCACTTACAGATTTATTTTTCTGATTATTTTTTTTTTTTAAGTTTAAATATATGTATATATAAAAGTGCTTCCTGCTTGCTGGTGTTGCATAGACATCTGCCCCGAGCCCTTCGTGCCCTGAAGCCCCCGGGCCAGCTTTGTCCCAGCAGAGCCGCGGCCAGCTGCAGCCCAACAGCGACCACGTCCCCTTTGGGAAAGGGATCGAGGCAGGGGTTAACCCCGGCAGCAGGGAGTAGGCTGCTTGACGTGCAGCTCAAGAACCAGAAGTGGCCTTTGCAGCTAAATTATTAACCTTTGGGGCACCAAATTGCTGCTGTGCTTTGTCTCGTAGCTGCTGACACTGGGCTCGTACGGCAGCAGCTGTGAGCACGCTGTCCCCTGGAGACGAGGCAACTTCCCACACATGAAGGACGCATTTATTTATGTATTTATTTCCATGCATCAGGGATGCATGCAGGACTTGCATGCCAGGAAGAAAACGCGTTGAGAACAGCTCATCTCTGCCTTAAAAGTACTATTTATGTCTTCCACAAGCACCTCCCTGCTCGCCTGAGGTTACTCACTTGAGATGTTCTGGAAACAAAAAATAGAGTCACGGCAACGCAGAGCACGGGGGAGCGCCACAGGACCAGCCAGCTGCACGGAGCTGCGTGGGGAGGGTGGCATGGGGACACGGGCAGGGGACCTGCCACGCAGGGCCCCCACCTACCTGCCGGTTGACGTGGATGCTGCTGGGTCCAAAGGTGGTGGTGCCGTAGCTGGTCACGTAGTAGTGAACGGCTGGCTGCGCCGGGGGCGCCTCCGGGTGCGTGGGCACTGCGGGGATGCAGGAGGGGACCGTCAGCTGTTAGGCAACTCCGCTCCCATCAACCCAGCCATTGAGTGATTCAACCCTAAAGATAAACAGGGAGCCCCACTGGTGACAGGACAGTGGGTAGCAGCTGCTTTGGGCTCAGAGAGAGAGGAAAAACTGCTGCGGTTTGGGCGTCGGGGGACGTGCTTCCAGGCACGATGGGCAGTGGGAAGGGGGAGCACAGCCGGTGTTGGCCTGGCTGTCACAGCCACCACCGGCGTGGTGGCCAGGGCCTGCCCATGGGGTGAGACGCCCCAAACCAAAAGGGTTTGCAACCCACCGAACTGCACAAAGGCTGCTCGCTGCCACTGCTGGGCTGGGAAGAGAGGGCCATGAAGTGAGCAGGCACCGGGCATGGGATTTCCCCTACAAGCTCCTCACCATTTAAAGACAGTAAACATGCCCCTTTACCCCCACACCTCCCATTTAACCCCCTGCTTCTCGTCTGGCTGCTCTGTGGCGCTGCCCTTTCCAGGCTCACCTTTTGGTAAGAGCAGCTCTGTTCCAAACCGATGACCACACGTTCCACAGGTTTTAACTTCTTCCTTCGTCCTGTAAGGGAAAAAGCCCCAAGGATAAGAATGAGCAGGATCTGCCTTCAGCACTTCCCATGGAAGATGGTGCCAAGGCGGTGGGCGAGGATCCCTCTTCCCACTCCGATGTAGGGCCCTGTGGTTTTTGGGATGGGGCCGCCTCCCTGGGTGCCCGAGCCCCTGGCTCCTTATGAAATGGGGGGAATCTGGCACTGCCCTGTCCCAGACCAAGCTTGAGAGGACATTATGTGACTTTTCCCTAAGCCCCCGTCTCAACTTTTTTCTCCTTTCCTTCCTTGCTCGAGTTTCTCGTGCCATTAAATGCTACCACCTGTGTGGCACGGGCTCAGAAGGGCAGCACAGGGCCCGGCAGCATTACAATGAATTCAACACATCTTTTAAAAGCTGATCAGCCTCCCTGGCACTGCAACAGCAGCCATCGGGCTCCAGCCTCGTGCCTGGTGAGACAGCACATACATACACAGCGTTTTTGCCATCCATGTCTGGCCAGACCAGCTCCGCAGGACAGCCGGCAGTCCGGCAAGGCGTCTTCACGCACACGTGCAGCCCTGGCCACTCCTCTGAGAGCTTCTGGACGATGAACACGACAGCCATGAGGAAGTCCCAGGTAAACTGGAATCCTTCAGGACAGAAGGAGAAAGTCACAGTTACTCATGACCACCCAGAGTGGTGGCCTGGGTGAACGTGGATCATTTCCTGCTTGGTTGTGTCCATCAGAACCGGTGTGCCAGCTGCTTTTCGCCTTAACCAATTTCCAGCCCTCTTCAAAGGGAATTGCTGCAGAGGTTTTTGGCTGGGAGCCATGGCACCAGCACAGCACACAGGCTGCACGGGGACAGGGATCCTTACCCGTTGTTCCTGCTGGCTTTCTGCTTCGGAGCTCCAGGTAGCTGTACGCCCTCTGGTTGTTCTCTTTGATCAGCAGAGGCTTGCCGTTGCATATGAGCAGACAGGTCATCTTGGCCACCCAGTGTGTGGAGTAGAAGGAACAAGCTTTCACCAGGAACCTGCAGGTAGATTGCCTGAAGCTTTAATCTCCTTCCTCCCGCTCATGGAGAAAGAGTGGCACCTGGTGGGCCTCAGAAATACAGAGCCAACATCAGCCAGGATCGAGCTAGAAGATAAAAGAGGACCTCAAAAGCTCAAGCAGCCTCTTAAGCCAAGAGCTGCTTCCATGTTTGGCCACCAGATAAAACTCTGGGTACAAGTCAAGAACCCCAGGAGACCTTCCGGAAACTGGAACTATCCCAGTGGAAACTGGACCCTTCCCAGCTCTCTGCTGTAGTGGGACTGGGAGATCTCAAAGTGCCTGGATAGGCAGACTAGCCCTGTGGCCTGCCAAAAACCACCCTGCATGAAAGGTAAAGCAGAAGGACTGTTTTCCTTGTTCACATCCAGTCAGCAAACATTAAAATGATTCACGTACAGCCCCACAAGTCTGGGGTAGAGTTGAGGTCCCACCATGGTCTCCCGAGTCCTGGCCTTGTGCCTCAGCTGTTTTGGTTGCCACAGCTGAGAGCCTGTCATAGCTGCTGTGTCCCAAACCAACCCCAACACCAGCCTCAGCACGGCCAGAAACAACTGCTTACCTCTGAAAGAAACCCTCCGGTATTTCAGGTGAGAAGTAGGCACGGATGTGGAGGTCCTCGGGGTGATCTCCTCCCCACACCTCAGCGACCTCTTCGGTCTGGTTCAGGTAGGTTGGGAACAAGTACCAGGACTCCCCTTGGCCCTGCGTGGTCTCCCATGGCTTCCCAGGCACAAACTCGCAGGCCTGTGGGTTGAGAGCTTTGGCGTGCCTCACCTCCAGGCAGAGCTCGAAGTGCTCCAGGAGGCTGAAGAGCTTCCCTCTCCCTCTGTGGGGCTTGTACCCCATGATTTCCTCAAAGACGTCCTGCATCCCTTCCGAACAGAGCTGGTACTTCACCAGAGCCCGCACTGCCCGGTGGCACAGCATTGCCTTTGACTTGAAGGTCCACACCCAGTTGGACCTGTCTCTGATGGTGGCGTGCTCTGCAATCAGCGTGTCCACGGAGATGCTCTCCAGCTGCTGGACCAGGCGGTACCTCACGAGGAGCTGCGCAGGAAGAAAGGGAGGCAGGAGGCTGCAGCGAGAGGAGCACCGCCGAACTCGGGCTGTGCAGAGATCGTGGTCTTTGTGCCCGTGCTTACCCTGAACATAGTGATGAGGAAGGTGGGCTGCAGGAAGACGGTGCTTTCCAGGTGCTTGATTTCCTCGTACCACACAATGAGCCCGATGCGGTGGAGGTACCGCAAGATGTCCTGCAGCAGCTCTCTGTCCAGGCTGGCCAGGTGCTCGCGCAGGGAGAGTTTGCTGAGCAGGTACTGGAGGTCCATCATGCCTAGAGGGAGACGCTGGTGCTCAGCACGCTGCCCACAGCTGCCAAGCCAGCAGTCGGAGGCTTTGCAGAACCAAGGAGCACCACCAGTACCCATAGTCACACAGGCCGTGCCACCCCTAGGGCAGCAGCCGGGACCAGAGCGATGCTCGGTGCCCATGGCACAAGGTGCTTTGCCCACCTTGGGCTGTCCTGCTGCGGTGCTGCAGCAGAGGCCTGAGAAGCAAAGCTCAGAGGGCATGCAAAAGGTGTGCACAGGCGTCCCCAGGGAGGTACCAGCTCCGCCGCCGCTCACGATGAGTGCCAGGGGAGTGTCCCCATCTGCACACACGTCCCTTGGGGCGCTGTAGCGAAGCCACCGTGCAGGAAGCAGCAATGCTTCGCCCCGCCACCCTCCAGCTCCCATGGCATTGCCTTGCCTCAGCGCTGGTGGGTGCTGATGGCCTGCCAGAACCTCAGTGGAGCACCTGAAAAGTGAGGCTGATTCTGCTTTTTTCAGTGTTTGAGCGTATGGCTTGTTTCCCACTAGAAGACCTCTGAGGCAAGTTTAATCTCAGTGTCATTTAGTCATGCAGAGAGCACAGGGAGACAGGCAACAAAATGTGGCTTATCTCCACAACACACTGGAGTTTGCTCCTCATCCTCTAGCCCTGCAGCTGCAGGGGAGCCAGAGAGGACTCAGGTGGTGCAGGAAATTTTTTTCTTTTGCTTTGGAAATGTGAGTGAGAAACCAGGGCTGCCTGCTAGGCCCGTCACTGAAGACACAGAGAAGGGGCTAGGGGCGTTAAATAAATTTGGCAAAACATAGGTTTTGGAAACCAAAACCGCTCACCGTGCTCGGCCACCTCCTCGCCCTGCGCGATATCCACGATGGCGGCTTCCACCTGCCGGTAGACAGGCGGCAGCACCCGGACCACCTCGGGGAAGAGCTCTTCGTTCCTCACGTGCTCCAGAATCGTGGCTTCGAGCCTTTTGATGTCACGGTGGTTCGTGCAGTTGACAGCAACTAAGTCTAAGATCTGGAAGAGAAGAAGCACGCACACCTGCCAAAGGGAAGACCGGCGGAGGCCAGGGCCACACAAAATGGTGGACGCCCTGCTGAGGGAAGCCAAGCAGCGCTCCTGGTTGCCCAGTGAAGCGCTGCATCCTCGGAGGTTCGCCACACTGAACAGTGTGCTAAGCACCACAGGAAGGACAGCTACCCCACTAAACAGGCCTGTGTAAGCATCCCAAACCCTGCAAGCTTGCCCAGCTCCCCTGATAGCTGCAGCAAATCCACAATAATCGGCCCTACGGTTAACATGTGGTTCTCCATCTCCTTCAGCCTCTCCCACTGGTCCACATAAAACTCAGGCTCCTCGCTGTCCTCCAGGTTGTTGATGAAGTGAGCAAGGTTGTTTTTTCTCTCCACCAGCATGGCCGCGATCTTGGACATGATGTCGGACCTCTTCTCCTCCACCTCTCCCTCCCGGCAGCAGTCCACGTGGGTTCCCACAGGAAGCACCACCGAGTTTGGGACTCGCATGGACAGGTTGTTGATCCAGAAACCAACAAGGTCCTTGAACGTGTCATCGTTAGTTTGGTACCTGGGGAGGGAGAGAGAGAAAAATTCCCAAATTCACATCTAGTGCTCTGAACCTTTGAAGACTGAGTCCTTGAAGAGGAATCTCTGAGGCAGAAAGCAAAGCTGGGGACCACATAAACTGGGATCACTTGCCACAAGACAAGTTAATGCTTAAACCTCTCAAAACAGGGGGCTTTAGTAAGGTGATGCCAGATCTAGTGGCTTAATAAAAAATGTGATCTCCAAAAAGGGGGAGAGTGAGATCTATTTAGTCCAGCAGAGAACAGCCATGAAGGTACAATGGAACTGGCAAGAATTGTGGACATGGAAAGGAAAAGCTTACCCAACCCAGGTTCGTTTGTCTGCTCCCGCTCTGCCTTGAATTCAGCACTTACCTGTGGAGGTTGATGACAAGGATGACAAGTGCCTGTGGGGTGATGAACACATGGTGAGTCATGTAATACTCCAGCTGGCCAGCAAAGTCCCAGAAGAGAAAAGTGAAGTCATCGATCCGGAACTCGCTGATCTCTATCCCAACCGTCCGCTCTTCCTTGGGCACCAGTTTGCTTTGTCTCTGCTTCAGGCTCTTGCAGATGGTGGATTTCCCTGCCAGCGAGGCCCCCAGGAACATGGTTTTGACCCTCTTGTCCTCCTGCCCTGAACCATGTTGGAGCTGGTTGAAGTAATTCAGGATCTGCTGGATGCCACCGGCGCACACTTCGCTGGGTGGCTCCCTGAGCGGGTTCCCGTTGGCCCTAAACATTTTCAGGGACTGCCCCTGGAACAGCTCCTTGGGGAGCTGGCGAAGGGCATTATTCTGCACGTGGAGCTCCTGTAGGTTTGCCAGCTGCAGGACAGGCTGGGGGAAGGTTCGAAACAGGTTGTTGGAGATGTTGAGGTACTGGAGGCTGCCTCGACAGGCTGCCAGGTCCCTGGGGAGAGCACCCAGACGGTTGTTGTTCAGCCGCAAATGCTTAAGCCTTGGGAGATGAGAGAAAATCCCCTCTGGGATGACTCGGATTTGGTTCTGATTCAGTTCGAGCTTCTCTAACCAGACCAGTCTCTGGATTTCTCTGGGAAAGTCCACGATCTCGTTCTTGGACAGTATGAGCTTCTTCAGGTTGCGAAGCTTAGAAACGCCGGCGATGCTCCTGAGTTTGTTCCTGTCGAGGTCAAGGCTCTCCAGCGCGGGATTGCTCAGGACTGCTGGGGGCAGCACCCGCAGCCTCTGGGTGGAGAGAGTCACCTCCCGCAAGCAGTCCTGCTCTGGACCTGGGCACGTGGGACAGGAAAGGTTTGTAAGGACACCACGCAGCTGCCGGCCTGCTGGAAGAGAGCCTTTCAGCCGCACAGGGGCAGATCGTTTGCTCTCTTGAGACCTTGTGCTTGGCAAAATTTGAGACCATTCTGTCCAGCAAGGCAAAGCTGAGGCTAAACGCAAAGAGCTGTTTGAGCAGCGTGACCACAGCTCCTGGCCCCACTCAGGAGAGGGAACAAAGCCGAGACGAGAGGATCTTGTCTGGGCCTGAAGATGGGGGAAGCGGCAGAAGAAATGGTGCCCACCGCATCTCGGCCGGGAGCCCCAGGGTTGCAATAACAGCTTTGCTTTCATTAGAGCACTGTGAGAGCTGTGCCAGCAGATGCAGCAGCCCTTATTTCAGCAGCGGGCTGGCAGGGCAGAGCCAGCACGTGGCGGAGAGCTGCTCCCCAGATAACCTGCCCAGATCGCCCTTGTGCTGCCACCCACCCCCAGCGCCAGACCACAGCCAAGGCAATGATGCTTTGAGGCCAGGGCTGGCGAGATCAGACACTTCCTCTCTCACATCCTCCCCCTCCAGATGCAGGCTCCGACTCCCCAAATCACTGCTGCCAGCCCAAGGAGGCCAGGGAATAAGGCAGGGAGAGCAGGGGTGTCCCAGAGGATAGGGAGCAGGAGATGGGAGCTGCGGAAGGCCTTGGGCCAGAGCAGCCCCAAAAGGAGGGTGCTTATGGCAGAGGGATTTGCACGTGAGAATAGAGCCGGGGGTCAGGACTAGAAGCAAATAGAGCTGAACTCGCTCTCCTCTCCCTTGTTTCACTTCCTCGCCGGATGACGCCGCGCGTGGCACCCCCTTGCGCAAGATGCCGGGCTCAGGAGCTTTCAGCATCACCACCTAAACCTGGAGCGTGCCACGAGCCTGCTTGGAAAGCCAGCTTTGACCCGCTCCCAAACACCTCTTCTTGCCTCTCTCCTCCAGAAAGACAAGCCAAAGGGCTCCCACCACCATCCGAACCAGGCCCCGTGGGCAGCACGAAGAGCTGGGGCAACTACTCACAGGCTCTGGGCTGGGCCATGGCCCTGCAGCGCAGCACCGGCTGGATCCTCCCGATCGCTCGGCCTCCCCCTTTCATTTCCTCCTCTTGTGTGGCTCCCCGCCTCCCCGGGCTCTGCACGGGAACCCCACCCTCTCTTTCTCCATCCATGCCCAGAGCAGCTCCCAACAGCTCGAGCACGCCTGGGCAGACACACCAAGCCCTTGATCACCACGCTCGACAAATGACGGGAGGATCCCGGCCTCCTGTTTTCAGCTGCCCGTAACGTAGAGGACTCAGAGCAGTTCTTCCTCACACTCTCACCTATTTGCATTCTCTTACGGGACAGGAAAACAGCTAAATTGCGGAACAACTTAATTGCTTTTAAATCCTCATGGTGGGGCAAGGGTACCTACCTGTACTGCTTGGTAATTATGAAGCATTTCCCACACGGAAACGAGCTGCCACCCAAGATCCTGGCCTCAGAGTGCTGTACACCACCCAAACCGTTGTAACCCTAAAGGAACACTCTTCTCTTAAAATACAGGGACAAGGGCTCTGTGTAAGACAGGCCTTCACCCCTACAAGGAGGACAGTGACCTCTTTCAACATTACCTTATGCAAGCCAGGGAGCTCATTCCTATAAAGAGCGCTGAGAATGCTATGAGATGAAGACGGTGGCAGAGCAGGGCTCGTGTCAACCTCCAACAATCCTTGTGCTTGCTAAAGGAACTTCTCTTTAGCTTAAGTGTTACCACTGGTGTAGAGGAGGGGAAGGACATTAACAGGAGGTCATTGCGCACGTCAAATAAATGAGATTTCTTCCACTGAATCGGTGGCAGCACCTGATCTGAGAAGGTCAACCAGAAAAAAAAAATGCACATGGAATATGCAGCATACTAGAAAAATTGTTTTGTATAACATGCTCAGAAAGGCATTTTAAGGTATGTCGCTCAATGTAAGTCAGCCCTTGGGAGAGGCAATCTCATGAATTTATTTTTCACAGTAGGCAGATTGAAGGAACCAGTATTATTTCTCACACAACTTCAGGGGAAAGCACTTGCACAGTGCGTGTTTTTCAGCTTCGATGCTTCTCCAGGCAAGGGCAGGTGCAGATGTAAGTGAAATTTAACAGCTCCTAGACTATACACACATTTGATATATCTTGCACCAGGCTATTACCTTTGCAGCTAATTCAGACTAGTATCAACCAAAAACTGAAAACAGTGAATCTGTCTGGGGAACAAAGCAGGAAGTTATTGTCTTCCTAGTCACCAGCATAGTTGCTTCCACTACTGGGTCAAGCTTTGTCATTCAAACCTCTTGTCAGGTGCAGGCTGTTCACTCCAGAATTGTTCCTCTGATAAATCCCAAAGTGTCTGATTGTCAGCCTATATGGAAACTCAACTAGATAACACTCTAATTCTTGTTTCATCAACACCATAAAGGCTTCTGGGCTTTATTTTCTCAAGAAACCTAGCAGAGGTGTTTCTGTTCACAATCCCACATCCACCTGTGAGGCATGCATTCTAGCTACATGTTTAACTGTAAAACTAAAACTCTGCTCCCTAAAAAAGAGGCTTCCTTCCAAAACTTTGGAAGTCATCAACCCCTCCATTCAATTTGCACTTTCATACAAAAAGCAGACCAGAGAAGACCAACCCCAAAATGCTCAAGGCTTCTCCTTAAGCACAGCTCTAGGATAGTGAGATAGCAAATTGTGGCAGTGAAGTGGTGTAGGAGGTCAGGCAGTACTGGTGGAGGTTTTTGTTTGTTTGTTTTAAACAGTCAAACACACACACAGAACAGATACTTAGAAGCCATCAGAATTACAATATGCCAACAAAGCTCGAGACAGAAATCAGCATTTGCTAAAAAGTCAGGAAAGCCAGCAATGGATGGGAGTTCTTCCTATTTGTGAGCTCTTCCCATGCTCACGAGGAAAAATAAGAGCTGAAAAGTTCCTTAGTTCATTTAAAAAACAAACAAACAAACAAACAAACAACAACAAAAAAAACCACCCCCAAGAGCTTATTTTCTCTTTGAAGATGAGCAGCAAGACCCTCAAAGAGGGTAGTTCCTATGTGCACTTCACAAATGTTACTGATACCTGGTCTAACGGGCCACCTATACTCAGATCCCCTTGAAAGGAAAAGCCACTTTCTAAGTTGTTTTTTAAGTTGTAACTTACTGTTTTTTTCTCCAGCTTCCCTATTAAAATGCCTTCTCTCTTCCTAACACAGGAAAAAGGAGCTTTTTGTCATATTCAAAAGGTGCTGAATATATTTTCAAGTTGCTGTATTTCAGACGATCATTTAAAACAGTAGTTGCTCTACAGTATGTGTGAACAAGGAGTGCTTTTCAAGTGCTTTTAAAGCAACACAGAGCCATTACACATGCAAGATGTCCTTGCTTCTTGAAAAGGAAAGCAGCCCCCCTCCTTCATAGGAGGAACACTTACTTATCCAAATCCAGTCCTCTCCTAGAAACCCAGTATTCCTTTGTGTACACATTTATACAGAATGGTCACGGAAAGGGGCAGCTGAAAGGCAAACAAACGACACCTGCTATAGGACTAAAACCGTTCAAAATAACTTTATAAATTCTGTCACATTTCTGCTTTGTACATCAGTTCAACCTTGTCCCTCAAGCTTGTTACTGAAAATTCACTATGTTTGCTTTTTGTTTCATTTTTCCTGAAAGGCAGACACAAAACCAGCCATCAGTGCATTATTTACAGAAGTGCAACATAATCTCCCACCCCCAAAATTAAACTTTTCACTAACAGGATATTTCCAACAGGATGTAAATAAACACCACGGGTTGAGCAGTGTTTCTGAAGTCAATTTATAAAGGTTAGCTCATTTCTGCAATCCCCAAATGACAGAGCGAGTAAAGCTTCGCTCCTCATCGAGCAGGCTAAAAATACCACATTTCAAGTATTAAATTAGAAGTTTCTAAAGACAATCCATATTTTGATAAATAAACACAAGGGAAACAGTATATAGCTCTCAATATACTGTATACGAAAAGTGGTGTCCAGTTTCAAACTTTTAGCAAGACAGGTGCACGGGCCAAAAATGTGATCAAAATAACCCTGAAAATGGTAGCAATCCGGGAGTCCCAAACATCAATCTCTTCTGTGTTTCCCCTGGAATTACTCTGCTGGTCTGAGGCATTTGATTGTTATTGAGTTCTACATCTGTAGGTAATCAGAAAAAAAACAACAAACCCAAGCTCATTCCCATATGGAAACAATTCAAAAGTAGGTTCAGCAGATAAATCCTATCTTGCTTCTCTGCATTTTACTTTTGATGAGATGTTACTGCAGATCTGTTATTTCTTCTGGAATAATGTTCTCAGTTCATAGAGTTCAATTCAAGTCATTCTGGCTGCAGCTTACTCTCAGTTTTCCACTTCACGTGCATCTTCACCATCAGACTTCTTATGTTTCCTCATATGTTTGTATTTTTCCACATACGCCTTCACCAGATTAGCTACCTTCATAGGGTTGATCTCTCCACTTTTGCTGTGGCAGATCTGCAAGAGATTAGAAAAGGCATTCAGTCGCTTAACGGTATCACAGCAGCTCAGGCAGACAAGCAGTGACCAAGAAACCCTGAACTTCCCAGGAGAACTGATTCCTTCATAGGCTCCTAGACTCTCAGACCAGGACGCAAAGTGAAAGACTCAACAAGAATAAGAGTGTTTTCAGCCAACGCTGGGGTAGGTCTAACCCTCTATGGTTATTTGTAAAACCTACGATGCATCTTGGACTAAATGCACATGGGCAAGTCATATCAAACCCTTCCTCGCTGCGATAACTGCATCTGTGTTCTGTCCTAGAGAGTTCAGCCTCTGTTGCATTGCAATAATGAAGCTTTCAGCTCTAATATATCCAAGCGTCAGAGCAACCTGGCATGACGGCTTACACATCTCTGCGGAAATCATTAGCACATCACTACCCCCACCCCACCCAAACTGTATTAAAGAACACCACAGAAGTTACGCTTGATCGAAGACTAATTAAGAAGTCTCTCCAAGAAAACAGATACCCTATAATCCTAGCTGGCCTTCTTCTGCACGTGTAATATTTAGCCTCAAGAGCTGGACACTGTTGTACTCCCATCCCTCTACCATTGCTCAGGATGAACAGTGCTCACTGGTAATATTTTCCTTCACGCATTCCAGAAGCGGCCCGAGCACTTCCCTACTGAGCACTAACTGAATGCATCTCTGAAAGGAGAATCATTCATTTTTATCATGGGCTTTTCTGTGGTTTCTAATTAACATACCAAACTGCACTGCAATTGTCCAGCAAATCCTATATAATACATGGTAAATTAATGTTTATTTCCCATTTTTCTGACGGTTTTGAGGAAGTGATGTTCAAATTGAAAGAATTTGGCACTTTTGAAGGCCCATTCTGAGATACGTAGTGTCTGCTCACTTTCTCCCAAAGTACTAAGAACTTAATCACAGGGACTTCACAGTTCACAGGGACTTCAGCTGTAACTGGTTTTGCTCAGGTCTTCTACAAACTGGATTTTCTTTTCACGTTGGTCATGCAGAAGATGTGAAATTGCAGACATTATCTCAGGAATTGTTGTTTACGATGGAATTTCCTAGTGATAGCAGGAAGGCAGAGCAGGGAGAAAAATAACAGTTCTCCAGGGTATCATTTACCTGCCTCAATCGCAAGAGCATTAATTGCTTTCACAAGACAACATGCATTTGTCTGCTGATAAGGTATTTTTTTCCAGCCACAATCTAGTCAGCACTAAGATTTGAGACAAAAGTCAGCGTCAGCCAAATTGCAAAGCCCTCTTCTAAAGTTCAGGGACATCACAGGTGTCCAAGGAATTAATACACAAAATATTTTCTAACTTTCGGAGAAGCAGCTTGACGATTCAGGCTGAAGTTCTTAATGAAAGGGAATTAAGAACTCCCACACAAGGCGTGTGCCATATAACACCTGAGATCAGGCAGCTTAAGCTTCAATGTTCCATATCACTGAAAACATATTATAAAAGGGTCAGCCTTGACAGCTCTCAATGACTCTGCTCAATCCTGCTTGGAGCAACTTCACAAGACTGTCGAGTCCAGGTCAGAGTCCAAAAATCTGCTATTTCAGTAACACCATGTAATTACTGAAGCTTGCAAGTGCAATCCAAAGTACTGCCACTATTTAATTACCTGCACGGCTCCTCCCCTTCACAGTCACCTTACCTTTTGCACAGCTTTTCGAAGAATGTTCTTATATTCCTCCTTCGTAATCTCCCTCTTCTGGTAAAAAGGTTTAATGGCAAGTTTCACTTCTTCCACAGCTCTTTCCTGCATGTGAAGCTTCTTCATGTACTGCACAGCAAAGAGAAGTTCATTACCTTGTTTTAGCCTGGGAATACTTTCAGAACCTATTCTTCTTAGAAGTGCTCAGACAATGAAAATACCCATTTCACCTTTCAACAAACCAAGAGCTAGCCTCAAAGCAATCTCCTTTACCGTACCTTGCAGTCTTGAAACAAAACACGCTTCATGCAGTGAGAAAACCTTGTTTTGTGAAACATTCTGTCTTAGAGAACACGTTTTAAAAAAGCAAACATGACACCTTAATTTTCATCTCCTCCTCCCATTCCAACAGCTCTGGAGTAAACATCCATCAATCAAAGAGGCTGTCAGAATCTAAAAGCAGCAGGTCAGAGGCATAAATACAAAGCTTCGCATAGCTCTAAAGGTACTCTGACATAAGAGCATACTCTATCAAGACAAATTCACAGAAACTGCTGCTGAAATGGAGGTTCAGTTGAAAACATCTTCCTACCAATTTTTTTTTTTTTTTTTAACTTTATGATAGAAAATAGAATAACTGGCTAAATGACAGTTCTTCTGTTAATGTGCACTGTGCGTTTACAGCAGATGGTCTGTACAGCAGACCCAAAACTCAGCAGCAAGGGACTAGCACTGTTAGATCTCTAATGTTTTTTTCAGTGCTGATTAACAGCAGGATGCAGTCCTACCTCTCCATAGGACTGTCATGAGAATTGATGCTCATTTCAAAACTGAACAAGAGAGGAGAGCACCAGGTGTTTGGAGTTTGGACATTCTGGCTTTCTGAAAGCAGCTTTCAAACATTCACACAAGAAAGTTTCACAACTGTAAGGGTAAATTAGCTGCTTTCACCCCTCTCAGAGAGGGTACAGAGAAAGTTATAAAACCTAGGTTTTAAAAGTCATAAAAAAAACCTTTAAAATTCCAAACAAGCAGCTTATTAACATATTATTTTTAATTTCTAAAGAACAGGTAATGCCTTAACTAACAGGACTGTGGCCTGCATGTGCAATTCCAGTTACGCATTTGCTACTTGAGAGCATTTACTCACTTCCTCATTCTTCGTTTTATCCACTGGAGGTTTCGGTACTTTGATCTTTTCTTCTGCATTTCCAACAGAAGCAGCTTGAATTCCTGGCTCAGAGGCAGTAGCCAAGCTGCCCGGCTCTGGAGTCAGGCTCTGCCCCGCCACGCAGCCAAGCGCTGGCAGGCTGCCCTGCATGATGAACTGAACCGTGGGCTGGCTGACGGGCGCGTAGGGTGGGAGGCTCGAGGGCAGAGGTGGCGTCAAAGGTAGATTTTGACAGAACACCTATGAAACAGAGACCGTTATGTAAATGCCTGTCCTCGGAAGAGAGCATCAGATTGGTATTTTCAGAGCAATTTTTATCCACTGAAACAGGCAAGTCATTAGTAGTGTGAATCAGGGAGGCTGCAGTCCACCTCTCAGCTAGGTTGGCACACACCTGTGCCACCAGTCCATTTTATTTTATTTTATATTTTTTACAGCCTGATTGCAATTAGCAAGATGCTCAAAGCTTCTGGAGCAACATGGTTGTTCATCAGGGAAGTGCTGAAAATGGAAGCTGCACACGTGGTGCAGAATGAAAGGGAGATGTGCTTCTTCAGCTGTAAGAATCACTCGAAAGATTAAATGATTGGAGGATTGCTGAGGCGTATGGGCTTTATGAAATGCACTAGACGCAGAGGAAGGCGAGCTCTGCCATGAGGGAAGGGTGTCGTACAACAAGGGCACAGATGAGGTGGGATGCCTTCCATGACACTGGGCTGTCAGAATAGGAACCAACCTGAGAGGAATCTAGGTCAGGAAACATAGGCTCGGGAATCATATAATTGGTTGGAGGAGGCTCATTTAACTGCACCTGATTTAATGTTTGGTTCAAGTCCTCTGCCTTCCAGGCCCCTTCTTTTGCTCGCTGAAGTTTGTAAAACGGCATCCCTAGGTTCCCCAAGAGAAGAAAAAAAAAAAAAAAAGAACAAAATAAACCTTGTGGGTCAAAGATTCGAAGCAGTTATACATAAAAAACCAACAGTGAAGATGGTTCTAACAACAAGGCTGGCTATTAAAGGACTTAGTTTAGTAATCATCAACATTTTAAAGCTGATAAGAGAGGGCTTATCATCCACTTGTGCAATTGTTTTTAGTGGGTTGCTGTGAGAGGAACTGAGAAGCACACAACTGTCAATACCCACAGCACAGGGCACCAAAGTCGAGCTGTTTCGAGCAGCTTTTGCTTAGCAGAGCTCACAGGAGCAAGCTGTAGAGATCTGCAGCACTGCTCAGTTTTGAATAATCTTAACTTCTGAAGGATAAATCATTCTAGTTAAACGCAGAAAGCATGGAACGCAGGCTGCCAGTTCAGAGATCAGGTTGCAGTATGTGCTTCACAGCCAAACAAGTTGCCACTGGCTAGCCGAGCTGCTGAAGTGACAGCAACAATTCATTAACGTGATTTGCCTCGTGTTTTTGGCAGGTACAAAACGCAGGCTTTCAGGACTGGGAACCACAGCATCACCCCAGCTCAGATGACAGAGCTACTACACTTACAGCTTAAGCCGGGCACCTAAGCCCTAAGCCTTATGCAGCCTGCTCCAACTGCTGCTTGTTTTCCCCAAGAGACTTACGTGGAGCTTTTCCAGCAGACAACGCACCGCTCTCTTCCTCTTGAAGATTCCAGGTCACTCTTTTCACTGGTGCTTTAGATTTCAACGCGGGACCCTGAGGTACCACCTCCAGTTCAGGTTTAGTGAAATCACTGGTTTTCTCCGTTGACACAAGGCACTCATCTTTAACCTCTCTCACACAATCTGTTATTTTGCTTTTGGATGAGCTTTGAATTGGCTCAGCCTCAGGCTGAACTTGCACGATAACCTCTTTCTTTGGAGGTGGCTCCATCAGAGGCGGACACAGCGCAGTATTTTCTATTTTAACTGTAATCTCCAGGTTCGTATTGCTACAGCTACCAAGCAATGCTGGATCACTGCTAGTCATTAATTCAGTTTCAGCCAAAGAATCCATGCTGCCAATTGGAACACAGCTGTTTGTGATCTCTGGCACACGGAATGCAGCTTCACTTGCCACTTCCTCACAAATAGGCTCTACCTTTATAGTTTCTTGGGCCTCCCTCTGTTGCACGGAGGTCTCAGCCTGTACTTCCTCAACTTTGACGTTGGGTTGGATGGTTATGGAAAACTGCTCCAGTACTAGCTCTTCCTTTGGCTCCTGTTTGAAGGAATGGGATTGCTCTGGACAGCTGGGTACATCTTCAGCTGGAGGCTTTTGATCTTTTTCCGGCTGGGGAGGAAGCGAGGTCTCTTTTGACCTGTGTTTCCTTTCTTTGGAACGTGATCTCGATCGTGGCCTTTTTTCTTTTGATTTGCTGCTTTTGTGCTCCCGAGATCGAGATGCAGACCGAGACCGAGACCTCCACTTTCTCCTCTCTCGAGACCTGGATCTTGATCTCTTTCTCTCCCTGGACCTCACGCTACTATCTTTTTCATACCTCTCATAGCTCTTGTCTCTCCTGTGTTTCCGCCTCTTAGTCCTTTCAGTGCTATTTGAGCGGGAACGATCCCTCCGTCTAGATCTTGACCGAGACCGCCTTTTCTTCTTCCTGTTTTCATAAAACTCAGAAGTACTTCCAGGACTACCTGAACGTGACCTCGATTTCCTTCTCTCCCTAGACCAAGAAGATTTTGCCTTTTTATCCTTAGTTTTATCCTTCATTTTCTTTTTTTTGGATCGCTCGTGACTGCTGGAACGGTCAGTAGAAGACCTCTTGTTCTTGGGTTTCGAGGTGTGTGTTTTGCTGTGCTCCTCTCCACCTGACCAAGACGTAGATCTGGAACTTCGGTCCCTCGAGCGTGCTCTGTCCCTAGACCCTGATCGGGATCTCTTATGGTCTTTGACAACTGCCTTTTTCCTCTTCACCTTCTTCCTGCTCCGGGAGCTGGAGTTTGAACAGGATCTGGAACGTGATCGTTTCTCTGGTTGTTCCGTCTTTTGGCCTTTTTGCTGCCCATCATTCTTTGAGGGACTTTCTGGTTCTGGTTCTAGTTTCACACTAATACTAGGTCTGATTAATTCTTCAGCATTAAAGAACACATTTGGGCCCTCTCTACCTTCTTCCTTTAAAGGCTCTGCATTAGAGATTTGCTTAACAACAGATGAAGTGCAAGGACCGCTTAGAAAGTCTTCCTCATCCATATTGTCTCGTTCCTCCGTATCAGAGATCTGTTCTACAATCCTGCTTTCTGCTGGCACGTCTTCATGAGACTCCGTGTTACTAGAGGGTACATCAGATTCAGCCCCAGACCCAAATATATTTTCTACTGTGTAAGGAGTGAAACGACGAACAGTTTGAAATGTTTGAACTTTTGGATTTTCGATGGAAATAGTCCTGGTAATATTAGTTAGTGGGATCCCTGAGCCGAGCCTTTCAGGACTACTGCTTGCTGAACTCGAGTCTGACCCTGTTGGCTCAAAGGGATCGTATATTTCACTTTTGACTTGCTTCTTCTTGACTGAGAAAAGAGGTGAAGGAGTCTCTTTCTGTTGCACTTTGTCATCCACAGGGCGAAAGGTGTTACAAAACCCTGGGTTAGGCAGTCTGCTGGAAGTCCCTACATTTCCAGGAATATTAATTTTAAAACTCTCAAAAGAGCTCGGGCCTTTGCTCCTCGAAGTGCCCAGAAGTGACGAACTGCTATACACACCTGCATTGGTAGAAAAAGATGCCCCGCTCGTACGCGTTTGCTGCTGAGATTCCTTGGCATTTGACTTCTGACTTTCCACCCTGCTGCCCTTTCCCGGCTGATTAGCGCTCTCTTTGCCAGTCAGCTGCGTTATGCAGGAGCTGGGGATGTCGCAGCTTTGGCTTCCTGTGGGTTCTGGCTCCACCTGCTTGCTGCTGGTTTCCTTTTTAATCTTTGGTATCCTGGGAAGCTCAAAGATGTCAACTCTCTTGAGAGGTGGTTTTAATGGTTGCCTCACAGTTACAGTCTTAGAACCAGAATTCAAGTTACAGCTCGGGGGCTTTGAAGATGAATTAGTGGGGGCAAAGTTTTTAGAGTTCCCATTAAATCTGGGCATTTCATCTGACTTGGAGCCGTGACCACTCAGGCTAGCTATACTGTGAGTCTGAACAGACCTGGGTGTCATTGAAAATTCCGATTTTACAGTTGCCTTTTCTGACGTGGTCTGTGCAGGGTTTGCTGCGGGCTCAACCCTGCTCAGGGAGGGTGAAGGTGATGAAAACAAACTTGATGAGGTGGGTCTAGTGCGAGTATTCAGCCCCAAGGAAGCTGAAGGTCCAGCAATGGAGCTGCTTGCCATGGTCCCTGAGTGCACTGTACTCAGCTGGGGTTTACGTCCCAAATCATCATCCGGTCTCGAGTCTTTTGCTGATTTTCTGTGAAGTGGAGCTACAGCACACAAGCAAACAATTAAGCTTTTCAAGGCGTATTTATCATTTTCCCTCACAACATGAAAAGAAGTACAGAGATAATTATTTTAATTATTTTAAGTTCCATTTTGGTTTGTAGACATACCACACAGTAATAAGGCAGTCCAACAGTTCTTTCGATCAGACACACAAGGGTTACTGTCAGACAATGGCACCTTTGAGGTAAATGCCAATATTTAAGAAATGAATAATTCTGTTCTGTGGGTCTCACTAGATTTGTGAGTATTATCCTGTAGCCGCCAACTGATAAAAATGACTTTAACATAGGATGTTATCAGTTATATACTACTATATAGTATACGGGTTATATATTATGGAGCATGCACTTTTGACATAGGACCAGGGCAGGCGTGGATAAAACAGGCTAATTACAACAGCAAGTGCCAAACCCTTACCTGCCTTCTTTGCTGTCAGAGAACCATCTCTGTTGATGACCACGTCAGAACTACTCATCATGAGGATGCTCTGTCCAGACAGGATACTTCCCAATAGATCAGGCACGGGGGCAGCTTCTGCTTCGTGATCAGGACTCAAGGCAGGTACACTGCTTCTGCATGTTTCAGAGGGGTTACATTTCCTTTACTCTTACAGCACTTGTTCTACACACACACATTACATTAAAAAGAAACCAAAACCAACAGTATAAACAGAGGTCAGCCAGGAAAGTTCACTGATAGTTTTGGCTTCACTAGAATAATTCTGCTCCCATCTCTCTCTGACACAGAAGTTGAAGTATTTACTTATCTGTAAAAGTGTTTACAGATCGGTATGATTATGTGCTTCCTGAGACCTTTAGTAAGCAAATGCTTTTTATCTTATTTAAGAATGACGCTCAACGTTGTCACGTATCAGGGCAGCGCATTGTTCAGTGCTACGCAGATACTTCCATCCCAGCTGTCTCTTCTCCCCACCAAAACAGGATCACAACTCTGTTAGACCTACGCTACTATCTAAAAAGAAACCAAACACTGACGCACCTCATAGAAGTGTTTAGCATCAGCTGTTGGAATGCACATCAGTGCCTACCAGTAGGGTAGGTACACTGAAAAATAACAGCAGTGTTCCTACACGTGGGATAACAAACACTCCCCTTTATGCATTACACAATCTTAAGAAAATAGTTCTAACTGCAGCTTCTCTGGGCTTAAAGCATGGTTTTACTGGATTCATGTTTTATGAACCATTCTGGGGGGATTAAAAAGGTTTGAGTGCTTTTGGTGGTTTGTTTTTCTTTGCTTGTGTGTTTAGTGGAGTTCTGGGTTTTATGTTTGTCTTTAAAAAAAAAAAAGAGGTGTTGAAATGGAACGAATAGACTTGGCTTTTTCAGGGAGCTAGACTTCATTTCTGTACAACAAAGCAAGGTTTCCAAACAATACACACCAAAAATTTGCAGCATACAACAGAAAGAGAATATGGGAGGGCTAAAAGCATTGGCCACCTAAGCCGGACGAGGAAACTCACTGTGGTTCAGGCAAATCAAACCCTTAGAAAAGCTGAATTTCAGCTGAACACGTTACTTGAGCTACTTTAGAGGACATGGAAAGCCTCCTGGAAGGCTTCCTTCAGGATGGAGATAACATTTCCATGGTAACTTGGGATATTTCTGTACCTTTCCTATCTGAATCCCAGGAAACAAACCTTTGCTTTAAGTCAGATGCATTAGAAGACAGCCACGTAAATCTCTTACGCCTTTCATCAGGTTAAGATGAGCTCTCTGCATTTCTCCTAGCCTTCAGCTCCCTCAGCCTTGCAGTCTTCCATGACTTGGTTGGTACCTGCTCCAGACATTTTCCTCATCCCTGTTCTTCTCACCATGCCCCTCTCTCTGTGCCCTACCTCTCTGCACTGCATCCTGTGCCCCAGTCCTGAAACCCCACTGGGGCTGGTAGTGGGGGGCGCACACGCATGTGCGTGCATGCAAGTACACACAAATCACCTGTCAGACAGCAAAGCAGAGCAATTGTTCAATTATAGATTCAAACAAACAGTTTCTTCCAATTCTGAGCTCCAACAGACGACAGAGGAGTAAAGTGATGTGGCCACACCCCTTGTTCCCTCCTTTGGATATGCACCTAGCTTCCCCTGCCTCCCCAGATATGGGAGCAGGACATTTTGATTGTTTTTTAGAGTTAATGAGACTAAGAATTGTTTAGCAACCCCATTAGTATATTTGAAATCCCAACTTGAAAGACTTACAAAATACATCTGGTAAGAAAAAAGTTAAATAAGAACGATCACCTGTCCTTAGAGTCATTATACAATTTTAAAAATAAAAACAGCACTTGATGGATTTTTACCTGGGAAGTCCTACAGAAACAGGTCTAGCTACAGGACGGTGAGACCTCAGAGCTGACTGGGAGAGAACTCTCCTTTTGGCACTCACTGGTGAATCTGGATTTGCTGGAACTTCTTCGTTGCTGTGGATAAAACACACACACACCCTGAAATTATTGTCAAATGCATGAAGCAGATAATATGATTAGAAGATGTACTGTTAGAGAGCATGATACTTAAAAAAAAAGATTTGTGCCATATATTTATTTTCTCTTGATTAATAAGCAGAATTGTGTAACAGCAGTTACTGCATACTGTTACACAGTAGAATTCTACATTTAAATCTCATGAGATTTTTTTTAAATATTAAATGGGTAGTTTCCTTCTAAGAGACTATCAAAAAAGGTCTGCTCAGTAGAAAATTAAATTTCACCAGCAATAACTTCAGATACCTCCCTCACCACATTTCAGAGCTTAAGAGTGATACAAACTATGGCATAGGGAGATTCCTCCTGAATTTAAAGCACCTGGAGAAGGGGAGATTTGGAAAGGAGAAACATAAAAAATTCCACAGGTCCACCTAATTCTACATGAAGTCACCATTTATCATATAACATAAATGATAGCTACCTTTACTTAAAGTAAACAATTATTGGGATCTGACTCCTTCATTCTCTAGCCTTTAAATAGCCTCATAGATCTTATTAAAGATTTTCATGCGGCTTATTTCAGCAAACCCCTTTAAAAGCAGCTGATTCTTTAAGAGCTCAGCAACTCAGCCAAGGAGGGAAGAAAGAACAAGTACATCATTACATTATTGTGAGCTGTGTAGCCCAAGTCATTTTCAGGTGCGAGATTTACACTTTTTGCAGAAAGTCACAAGCTCCTTTCCAAAGTATAACCCAGTTCTTGAACTTCTCCTGTATCCTAACATCCCAAGTTTCAAATACTCATGAAGATAGGAATACATCCATGCACAAGTGCAAACAACCCAACACCAGTGAAATTAACTTTGGATTGTGGTCATGGACCTGGGATCTTACCTCTCATAAGGATCCAACTCGTATGGATCTCCAAACACGGACAGAGAAGCTGCACCAATGTCTGCCCTCATCAGACCAAGTGAGGGCTCTGTTGGTTTGTATATGGAAGGAATCGAGGCCCCACGCACAGGTTTACTAAGACCGAGAGTTCGTGCAATACGGGAGCGAGTAGTAACCTCATTTTTTACCTGCACAGATACAGAGATGGGTTACTTGTATGCTAGAGGCAGGTACAAAGTCTTCACTTAGCAAGTGCGGTGATCAGGTTACTACTGTCAGCAGCAGAAGCAGTATGCATTTATTTTCTGTTTGCTTTAAAGCATTTATAGAACATACCACAGCCTGTACGCCACTCCATACAGAGACTGCATAGAGTAACTTAAATGATCAGACAAGGGAAATTTCTACAAATCTGTAAGGCAGTCACTCCAAATTGTCACTTCCTTATTAAAGGCTGGGAGGTCAGCTGTCTGTAGAACATAACCTCTAGCTAAGGTGGCTGAGGACAGAAGTCAAGCTGGTACAGAGTATTCAGTATAGTTCATCCGAGAACACTACCCACAACTGAAAGGGATTTTGTGAGCCCTTACATGTACTTAACGTGGTTTGCAACAACACAGATGCAAATTACCACAGTCCGTTAAAAGAAGTGGGTGGTGACAATTTCAGCTGAGCTTACACCAGTACTGAGTAAACACAAGAGCTTAATGGTAAGAGCATAACACAAAGCCTGCAGGACGCGCTTTAGTGTGATCCCTGCAGCACAGGTAATGGGATTTGTAAGCAAATCCAGCAAGCCTGCTTGGAATTTGCAATTCATTTCTAGGTACATACACTTTTCTGCAGTACACTGGGCATAACATCCTGTACATGCTTCCACCAGAAGAAAAAACCTGCCTGCTATCATTACAAAACAGTATTTTTCTACTGAATACCACGATATAATCATCTGATAGATAAAATAGCAGAAAACTGGCAGATTCTGATACTGGCAGAGACTCACATGCGATCTTACTCTTGTCTTTTTCCCTCTTCTCTTCTTCATTAAACGCTTGCGTCTCTTCAGCTGCGTCCCTGACGTCTTCTTCCCAACAGAAGATTTTGTCTGAGCTCTTTTTTTGCCTGCTACCTTCTTCCTCCTACCTGATGGGACACAAGACAACCAAGTACCTGGCTAAATGCTGGTGCTGTGTTGTACCCTGCACTCCCCCTTCCATACCCCCATGGCACACAAAGCAGCTGAAAGTGACCTACCGTGTGCTGCAGCAGTATAAAACAGTGCAGCAGAAGAGAGTGAAGACATTAGGATTTATTTAAAAGTAATCTTTACAATGAAAAGATATCTTGGGGAGGGAATTACACAGACCTATGCGTGTACATATGCACTGGGCATACTTCTGTAGCTGCACAGGTGCAGCAGCACACAGCTGCTCTAAAGTATTTTGTATGATTCAGGCTTATTTTCCCAAAGCTTTTATTCTTGCAGGTGGGAGCCACAGAAGGCTTCTGATGCCCTTACCTGTTTTTCTCTTCTGTCTAGCAGGAGCCCGCGGTGTAAGAGGACGCTGGTAAATGGCTGTGTTCAGGCCCGCTACAACTGCCTCAATTGTTTCATCCAGAAGAGAGGACATGAGGTACCTCGGCACATGCTGGGGGGGGGATTAGAAGTTAGATGATAAAGGTATCTGAAGATCAGCAGCAAGTTCGGTATAAAAGCATTTGAAGAGAAAGTGAATTGACATTCAGGAGAGAAACACTGATGGCAGCCCAAGCTGCCAGTAAAGCAGTTATGGCACTGTTCTCACCTATTGGTTGTTGGATTAAGGAGAACCTGGCCTTGCCCTTCAGGCTCCCTCACCATCACAAGCCATGGGTAGCTTAATGCCAACTTTGTTAACAGAGTACTCCCACTCAGCAGAACTTCCACAAGCCCACCGAACTGACCTCTGGCCCATCACACAAAGCATGATGAGCATGAAGACCATGAAGACCAAAAAGCCAATGTAGTACAGCTACCCCACCAAGATTCACCTTCCTCTTCCTCTCTACACAAAAGGGTCGACCCCATTTCAAATATGTTTAACATATTTGAATTAAGTGTATGGATTCTGAGGCACTGGTTCCTTCCTTTGGTTGGAAAGAGGTGACAAGCAGGTTTCTCTCAAAAGCTGTGTTAAGCATGTCATATCCATGCCAACCATATTCCTAGAACGTCTCTAACCCCCTCCCTCCTTCCTTCTAGCAGCGCTGCAGTGGCAGGACAGACATGACAAAAACCTAAGGCACCAATTTCAGCCTGTATTAACAGCTATAATAAAGACCATTTGGGTTTTGCTAAAAATTTCTCTCCTCCAATTATAATGACTTTGATGACAGATTCAACATGTATACTCCAGAGAGCTAATTAACAGTCCGCTGTTCTTCAACCAGTAGGAAAGTAAGATGACAAGAAAGCTTACACATTTTCTTGCCCAGATTTTGGCATTTGTTTTGCTTCCCTCAAGCCAGTCTTCAGGAAAGTTATTTTTCTGCCTGAACGTACAGAATATAGAAGTGTCGCTCACAAATTTGAGGCACTTCACAATCTTAAGTACATTTTCTTCTTCTTTCTCACCTGACCATTACAACTGGATTATACAGGAAACCTTTAGCCACCAGACCTCTCACCACTAACTCTGTCTTTTGCCCATCTGTACTTCACACTCCAAGGAGAGCCTCTGCACCTAACACAGCCTGAAATCCACAGCCAACTGACCGACTTGAAGAAACATTTACTTTTATCTACTTTTTTTTTAAAAATATATTTTCCTATCTTTGGAAAAAGAAAGGACAATACAGTCAAAACCAAAAGAGTATGTTATTGTCAAATGATAGAAAGCTTATGAAGAATTATGGAGCAATTCAGGTTGGACAGGACCAAGGGGTTCCCTAGGGAGGTCTAACCGTTCTGTTCATGGCTGGGACAACACTGAATTCAAACAAGGTTGCTCAGGGCTTTCTCCGTCTCAGGGCACTAATGAAAAACCAATTAACATATCACTAGTCCCACAGAGGTTATTTACAGGCCCTACGAAGTCACAATATGTTCCTGTGCAAATTAAGGCTTCTTATATTTACGGAAATGAAGGGCTAAAGCCAGAGGGGAGGCCAGGCAGGAGATCCTCAGTTTGAAAGTGCTCACTTTGCAGCACAGTAATTGTTACCTAAAGGATCCCAATTATTTCAGACAGCATCACCTCACCCATCTCTATTTGTTCAGTAAGCAGGTCCATGAGTAAAGGATTTCAAGTACCTCAGGGATTTTGCATAGATTCTGGGGAATCTATTAATGAGGTTGAATTCACACCACCACATCAGCAAGGACACTAGGATTTGGGTTTGCACTGCTTAACAGGAGGCTAACTGTCAAAAAAATAAAACTTAATATTTTTTTCCCTCCAGTTTGGCTGAAGGTGGCCAAAAGGTCCAACTGCTACTGGGAAGGGGGTAGGAGGACAAACAAGCAAATCCACAAAGCTCAAATAAACAGGCACACTAAAAAGTAGGAATGGTGCACAAATTATGAACTAACATCTGCTGGGAATAAGAATATAATTTTGTTCATGGCTGAAGTAATAAAAATGCAGATAAAGAGAAGAAGCTACTACAGATTTAAAAATAAAGACAATCTTGCTTGCATGCTGCAAAGCCACTTGTGTTACGTCTCAATTAATAAAAAACAAGAACTCCACAGCTACTGACCGTTTTGCTATGGGTGGTCAGCACTCAGACAGATGAGCTACGCCAGGGTTGAGATGCATTTCAGCTCTTCCACAAGGTTCTTCCAGAAGCTCGTTAGCAAATAATTCTACATACCTGAATTTGTTGCGCAGTTGTTATCCGGTTTCTGTTCACTGTTGCCCGAACTCGCTCACTCTGCCGAGTCCTGGCTATAGCTCGGGTTCGGACGTGAGGACGTAGCCTGCTAGTGGTAGGAATAACGTCAGCCACGAGGGCAGCAACCTCTTCTTCACTCACGTGATCTGTATCTTGAAAGAAAAGATGTCCAGGTCACTTCTCTCTCTACAGGTGAAAGCATTCGAGAATCTGGGACAAGAACAATCTGCATTCCCCTTCTTAAGTCAAATGGCCTCCAAACATGGACCTCATCCTCTCAAAAAGAAATGAATACAGACACCACCAATACTACTGCAGACTGTGACACAGAAACAAGGTTTTCTAGGTAAAACAGAACACTACCACCTTGGCAATCATCTGAGATCAGGGTGCTAATAAATTCTTTGCAGTGTAATTTAACACAATTGCACTAAGGTCCTGGACTAGCTTCAGAAAAATTGAAGAATGCTTATAAGAAGAAACTCCATAGATTTTTTTATTAAAATCTGGATTGGCAGTTACAAAAACCCCATACCAGTCAACAGGTTCAAGAGAAGAATGCCCAACAATTATTCTAAAGCAGATCAGAGCAAGGGTTAGACATGTTTTCAAAACAAGACATGCTTCACAGCATTTAAGTCAGGAGAAACTTGTTTACTCTTATTGCACACCACCAAACCCTCACCTGCAGCAGCACTGATACCCATGGGAGCACAGGCAGGACAGAACCATTCATCTACAGGGACTTCACTCAGAGGTGGGTTAAGGCATTCCATATGATACCTTGAGAAAGAAAAAGAAACAAAACAAAAATCAAACAAAGTGCTCCTTATCAAGGGAAAAGAGCACTTTATGTCTAACTACAGAAAAGATAAGACCATAACCCCAAGTGCAGATGCATTTCCATAAGCCTGAAACTACAGTCTGTGTATCTTCTTCTAACATTCTTCAGAGAAACGACGCTACCTGATAGTTGTGTAATGGTCTTTGATTCTAGTACGTATGTTTAAATCATTTTAGGCCCAAATAACTCCCTGAAAAGTGCCTGGTTTAACCCTCATGGTGGGGTACGTGCTTACCATTTGAACTCAACAAGTGTTCAAACACAACAAGTGGCCAGAGCCAAGACTAGTGGTGGCAAAAAGAACAGAAAGGAGCTGGTGAAGCACTGACATGACAGACAATCTGGAAACAACATCAATTTCCTGAGAACCAACGTGGCATCACCGTAACCGAGAGTTATGCACATTTTACTTTGCATGACTGGGCACCGGTCAGCTGCAATGCCTTATGTTAAATAAACGCATTTCATCCCTCCCCCACAGCTCTTGATTAAGAAAACAACTAGTGATGAGGATTTCTGCACAAGAGGATGAACTAGGTTGCAGAGCATTGTGCAGCTGGCTGCCTTCATACACCTGCTTGCTGCCTGGAGAACACCACCCTTCAGCATTTTGAAGTGTTTTCTAGCCAAAGAGAAGCTATCCTGGAAAACCTTTTAATATTACCCAACTTTGGCTCCATAATTCACTCTATTCCACTTTCAGCCATTAAATTAACACACACACAAAGGAACACATTAGTAGCCCAGAATTTCTAAAGCAACTCCTCTTCAAGTTACACTGCTAAAAAGAATTCAGACTTCCCAATAAATGAGATGCTTCCCATCAAAACAGAGTGTGTAGAACAAGTTCCCCAGTCGAGCAACAGTAGGATGCACACAAAAAAAAAAAACTGCAGAGAGAATACAACTGCTCATTCACCTCCCACCTACTGCTCCAATTTCAGATTTTGTCTTTCAAATCTGTTCCATGAAGTTGCGATTAACTCAATTTGTGACTAGATTGCAAAACCTGCTATTATGTTTATGCTAAAATGTATTAATTATAAACACAAAATGGAATATCATGTCCTTATTGCAGGGAAGAGCACATCTGAGCAGATGAGATTTTACACTCTCAGAAACACAAGAAGAGGAAGTTGAAAAATTATGTTTGCAAAAAATCACTATGTTAGAGTAGCAAAGTATTTTCCTTATCTGGGAAAGGAGAGCTCTTTCTCCAATTGCCAGCTACCAGGTATGAGATAATTTCCCTAAAGTGGTATTCTGACAAGTAACATTGTTCAGGCTGAAGTCATAACAAAAGTCCTTATAGCAAGAGCTTTGTTAAACACATTTTATATTATCCCTGGGCTTTCTGAAGTAGCATTTGAAAACCCTGGACACTGGAAAACCTATTGCAACAGCTATTTAAGAGCTCCCCGGATATTGAAAGAACCCAATCACACACAAAAACATCATAACAAAACTCAGTGCCAGACCTTATGTAAAGGTAAGGTGGTATTTGCTTTGCAAGCAACTCAGAGGTAAATTGATTTTATTCACACTCATTCTCTCAGTCTCATTTACATGTACTCATGTGCCCACCCACTCACAAGCACAAACACTGTGCACCCAAGCACTCTGGCCAGGATTATACCTGTGCAAAACAGCGGGAAAAAGACATCAGCAGTCAAGTTCTCTACACTTCTCTTGGACTCTTTGTGACTGCCAGTGGTGAACTGGTTTCAGACTTCTTTTCTGGGCCATTAGGGAATCTTCTGCCTTACTATTCTGTCTCCGTCCTCACAAATCATAAGAAAAATGACATCTATGGAATTCAGGAATTTTGGCCACAAAGCTAGTCCTGTTTTTCATTTTGATACCCATCTTCAAGTCAATTCTTTAAAATGACAGAAAAATCAGGACTTTATAGTGTTTCTGAAGCCAGTGCTATCTTCCATATTTATGGAAAGACAGGATGACTCCTTTGGCTATAAGCCTGATGGAAAAATAACTGATGAAGTTTTCAATGCAGTGTCAGGTCAGAGAGAACGTGAAGGAATAAAACCAGGGTTTGAAGCAAGCTATTCCATGTTTTCCTAGGAATGATCTCAGCCAAATGTGTTTTTCCCCCCCAAGTATTTTAAACTGCACTTGTTGCTCAGTGTATTGATGACATGCTTAACAATATTTAGTGTTCCTGACTGTGTCTTCTGTTTAGAAGGTGAATCAACGCACATGGAGGCTACAGAACACAAATACAAAACTAAACCTACCAGTTTTCTTGTAAGCTTGATAAAAGCCACCTTTAAGAGATTATTCTACCAGTTCGTTCAAAGAAGCATCTCATTTTGTTCAATAGGGGACTTCTGCCATCAAACTGACAATGCTGCAAGACTGATTCAAACAGTAGAACAAGTTGAAACTCTAGCAGGAGACTCTAGGCCCAAAGTCACATATCAGTTCCTTGGTGCCTCTACTGAGCAGTTGAAAAAATATTTTATTTTTCCAGGAGGAAGAAAAAAAGATGTCAGGTAAACACAGCAGTAAGCAAGACTAAAATAATCATCTAATAGATGTGGCTATACAGAAAATACCTCAACATTTCATGGAACTGTAAATCTCAAGCTCTCGCATGCAACATTAAAGCCCAGTCAACTGGGACAAGTCACGCACCTTTTCAGGGAGGCATAAAGAATGCAAGTGTCAGTCACACAGGTGCTGTACTCCCTTCACATCTTTCTTACCCTGCATCACAGCCATCGCACAGCAGCAGGCGATCCTCACGGTCACTTCTGCCACACACCTCGCAGAAGGTTGGATCATCCTCTCCATCGTTACCCTGAGTTTGTGTGTTCTCAACAGGAATCTGGATAAAAAAGGGATTCACGTTGTATGCAGAACGTGCCACTTCTAAAATCCATTGTCACATGAGCAGTAACAGCAGCAAAACCTAAACATGAGTGAACCGAGTGGCCACCACAAACCTGATCCTTCATTTGAGTTCATTCAACACATCTCAGACGTGATCAAATACTTTAAGCCAAGCTCAACAGATCTCATGTCTATTGTCAGATGCTGACAACCACAGAGAACTCTTTTAAGAAGCAGTGGAACAAAAAGTTTCTGAATAAGATCAAAAGTAGTCAAACAAATAAAAAAATCCCAAAACAAAACCTAAGAGAGCAAGCTTATCTTCTCCCCCTAAATTATAATTTATTTAAGTCTCAGTAATCATACCTCTGCTAAAATGTAAGCAATAATAAACCTTCTGTTTATGAAAACATAATGAACTCAGATGCCCTCCGAAACACGGTACGTTTCAGATACTGATTTAACAAGGACAGCGACAACTTCAATATTGTTTTGTGAGAGACCATCACCACACTCAACCTCTGCCTTTACGAGCTCAACTGCAGCCTCCTCTTCCTCCCTCTCCCCTTACAAACCCAGCTGCTACACAACAGAGCTGGTAGCAAGACATAAGGAACAGGTCAGGTACGTTTAACCCACATTGTTCCTGTTGGTATTGTACAGTACTTGCACAACACTGGGCACCTTCCCCTCGGGAACTGGCTTATCAGTGCAGAACAGCTTAGAGGCAAACTATACAAAAACACAGTTGTAAAATCCTTTTTGCCTTCTGAGCCAGCACCACACTTCAATCCACACACTCTGATGAAGGAAATGTGGTTAAAGATGAGGAAAATTTATAACAGTGCCTTAAAAGGCAACCTCAGATCAGGAAAGAAGTAATTCACGTGGCTACCAACTATCAGACACATGTGCTAAAAAACTAAGCCTTTGAATAGCTTTTTTGTGGCCATTTGGGTTTTGTACTACAGTAGTAAAGCTTACCTTTTTTAAGATTTTACCACCAAAATGCGCCCGAATGCTAATGTACTTAAAGAGGATTCGATCCACTGGGCAGGAGTTTGCATTCTAGAAGGAAACAAAATATTTTTCCCATACATTTAATACACACACCTTGATTCCATTCCTAAAAAGCGAAATTTAAATTATTCATGTGATCAGCATTAACGTAGTAAGCATTTTTAAAAGCTACTGGTATTGACATTTTAAGCAGTTAAATCTGACATCTGTCAAACAACCTTTTGCACCAGAGAAGACACTTTTTTTAGAAAAACATTTATTATATCACTGAAGTCATTTAATTATTATTCAATTGCTAAAGGAATATCAAAGTTCTTCCAAACATGGCCTTAAAATACTGCTCATGTTGGAGGAAATTTTCTTTCTTTGGGTAAAATGAGCAACTCAAAATTACCTGCAAATCCATCCAGTAACTCTGATTTTAATTACCACAGGGACTGTGTAATTCTCACCCTGGACTATGATTACAGAACTAGGCAGTTAGGTGGCAGTAACTTTGACTGAAAAATACTGAATTCAGAGCAAACTGCTGATTTAGTAATCTTCTGTGTCTTTCCTGGGTTTAAATGTTCGCTGTTGCAACAGACCCTGATCCTGCTGTCACAGCACAGAAGTTAGAGAGATAAATATATGTCTACACGCACACACACACAGAAAACCAATACTGTTGGTGTCTTGACTTGAAAACAAGATTCTTAGATGCCTAGAAATGCACTCGCTCACAGTATCACAGCTTTCAGAGAACAGAACACATCAGAACGGGTACAAGAAACAGATCCACACTTCTCAAACATGAATCCTGGCATATAAAGCAGTCACCTAAGCCTGTGTAGAAAAGCTCAAGGAAGCAAATATAAATATTACAGGGATCTGTTCTCATGAAAGAAGAACAGTGTGATCAGAGAGAGCAAAACACATCAGAATGCTGCAGGAAATCAAGTCCCAGCAGCTCACCTTTGACCACTCCACGATGCAGTCCAAGCAGAAGTAATGGGAGCAGTTCTCAGGAGTCCCAACGGCCTGATCTCTGAACGTGTTGAGGCAAATGGGGCAGTTTTCGCCATCCTCATCAGAGGAAACATTTGCTACGTTTAGGTGTGGCTCTAATTTCAGAGCATCAGTCATTCCCCCCCCAGCTTCTTCCTCCTCCTCTTCATCGTCATCTTCGCAATCTTAAAAAGTGAGAAAGGAAAAAAGAATGACATGCTGCAGGGCTTCAGCAAGGGGAGCAAGCACAGGGGGATTCGTAAGGGATGTTAGCTTGTGGAGAATTCCATGTAAGCTTACTTTACAGGGCTGCAAGGACAAAACATGACCTCCTCAGTCTGAGGTAACAGTTTTTGCTGGTTTTTACTCTTCCCCTCCCTCCCCTCAAGTCCCCTCACTAAAAAGCAATGGATTACCCTGGCTAAATAAAGAAATAAATAAAAGCCCAATAACATAACTAGTCTTGCAAGAGATTAAAAGGACAGACAGCAGAAAAACAACAGGTTACTACAATGCCAAGATATGTCAGTATACCGCTGAACATGGAGCTTAAAAATAAGATTATCAGGTATCCAACTTTTCTTCTGTTTATTAGACACTCCAGAAAACAAGGCACAGCAACACACTTGCCCCCAGACGAACAAGCTAAGGAGTTCACAGGTAAATCACAGTTTTGAGGGGATTTGGGTGCCTGGCTGGAGAAAGCTCAGAAAAGCTCAATTTTGAGTAAAATTCATTTTCAACTCTTACCACACATTACTGAGAGGTGTTTTCATTTTTAATCCGAAATACAGACACATCTTAGTGTTAAGACTGTGAAGTTGTCAATTTCAAGAAGCAATGAGAAGTTATGTAGAAGCATTCCCACTTGAAAAATAAAACACCAAGAAAACAGGGCCTGTGTGTTTTCTGTTGATTTTTCCTGGCAGGACATAGGATTGATCATTCTAAAAGATGGATTAATTAAGCTTTTTGACACCTTGGATCAGCTTTTTAGAACTAGTCTGTGTTCAAATCAGTCTAACTGGTGCTTGGAAAACTGTGCTCTTCCTTGCCTTCCTAGCAAGCACCAAAATGTGACAAAAAACTTTGTTTATCCATTTGAGCGATTCAGTTTTAGAAGCATTTGCATTTACAGACTACGTTTGCAGTACAATTAATAAATTCAATATCATCCCCACTCCTTTTTACAAAGAGAAATTCCTTGTCATCTTCCCTCCTCCCAAGCCTTAAAAACAAACTTAATCTCTTTCCAGAACTCCCCATCACTATGTTCATTTTCAAGCAAACTGCCACAAACACACCTTTTGTAAGTGAAAAAATTTTTCATTGCTGTAATTCCAACTTTTTTTTCTACTCATGCTGGGGCTCCACCACCGTCAGTCACTCCCGCTGCCTGTAATTACACCGTTTTTGGTAGTGGATAGTCCTCAAACATACAAATGCTATAAACAGCTAGAAACCGGGGAATGTTCATGTTTTTTACTGTAGGTTCTGGGCACCAGTCTACAGAGCAGCATGGATTTACGTTTCATGGTTACTTTCTGGAAGGAAAACTTTCATCTTGCTCCTCCTTCAATTGTTAAAAAAAAATCTCTGTTGTGCACATTAACAGCCCTTACCTTCTAATTCTTCATCTTCACTTTCTTCTTTGTCCTCCTCACCTCCCTCTTCCTCAGAGTCATCTTCCTCCTCACTCCCGGTGTCATCTTCTGATTCACAGCTGTTCCCACCGTTGCTTTCTAAGAAAGAAAAAAGAAGAGGGGGATTTGAAACACAAGTACAGCACCAGAATTCCTGCTCAGGATGTTACATAGGAAGCGAAACCCCAAATTTCCTCGTGAGCTTCTCAGTAGCGTCAAAGCCAGCAGCTCGGAGCAACTCAGAAGAAGCACGCCAGCAGTTTGAGATGCAGTGCTTAGAAATAAAACATTTTTAAGGCAAAGAGAAAAATGGTCACAATACAGCTTCACTTCTTTTGGAAGGTTTAAAAAAAAGAATCTGTTCTCAGACCTCCAACTGGAAAGGTGGAGGCACCGAGAGCCCGCGGTTACCTGTTTCACTGAGGAGTGCCAGACTCTGCCTTTTGCCCTTGCCCAGCGCGGCGTTCTTGTTTATCAGCTCATCCTGGCTGTCATCATCCATGGCAGGACATTGGGAATCCGCTCCCTGCAAGAAGGCAGACAGCAGTGAGGCAACACAGCACCTAAGCAATCGCAGAGGGTATTGCTACCACACAAGTGCTGAGTGACACTTGGTTCTTTTTATTTTTCTTCTGGTTCGATCTACAACAATGGAGGTCTGGCTTTGTGCTGCTGGAAAGCAGCTCTTACAGGAGGAGAAAGAAAACCCATTTAGTTTTCCCAGTTTCTCCTGAAACCATCTTCTTGTGCAACTCATTGCAGGGGAAAAAAATTCAGCTTATTCTTGGATGACCAAAAAAAGCACAGCCAGACCTCCCCACTAAAGGCAGGAGAAGAAAACCTGCCAACACCAAAACCATCCTGCATACTAGCTGTAAGGAGCAGCATCGAAAGGGGCCAGAGGTCAGCCTGCCCTTCGGATGAGGGCTGACGGGATGAAAAGTAGAGGTTTCAAATCAAGACACTTCATCCTGCTCAATTCCAACGAAACAAGAACAAAGAGGATGCGTTTTAGGTCTTTTTCTACAAAGGCCTTTTCACAGCTCCATCGTGAAATAGGAGAGCCTCAGAGCACGCAACCGCAGCAAAGAGGCCACTTCATTGGGCGCATATTAATGCAATCAAATTAATTGCAGTGCATTAGCAGACTGGCAATAAAACTGGCAGATACCGAGATGGCTCCTGATCCAAATCCATACCGACGACCAAACCACAGCTTTCAGCACGCGGTGCTACAAAGCGTCAGGGAAGGAGGATCGCTGCTCCATAAACAAGCCGTGGCTGAACACAGTTAAGGGACACTCACAAAGCTTGCTGTCATAACTCAGCAAGGAGGAGAAATTGGATTCTTCTGCAAACGTGGCAAAGAAGTTTCGGGTGCTCTTCTCCCCCTCTCCCTGCTCTGCATTATGCAGCTTACATATTAAAGTCATTTTTGGAACAAAACATTATGTTTTATTCAAGCTCTCGAAGCACATCCTCACTCGTTCACTCCCTTTTTTGAGCCACGTAGCACAGCTTTGCACTTAAGAGCCCTAAAAATGCAGCCTTTGCTAAGGCGGGCTGAGTTGTAAACGCAGCCTTCACTGCTCAGGAAAAAAGGCTAAAAAGATCAAGCTCCAGGACAAGCGGGTTCCTGGTCAGGATTTCTCCTAACTTTGGTGAGAATCTTGCCTAAGCAGAGAATTAAACTAGCTGAATTCGTGGCTGTTCACAGGAGCGCGGAAAAATGGTTTTCGTTGGCTGAAAACACGCAGACTCATCAAAAGGCAGGCGCTGCAACGTACCCAAAGCAAACTGGGAAGAACCACTGGTTTCCACCAGGAACGCGCCAGTTCCAGCACTGCGCACGGATGAATTATTCAGAGCGAAGCCGCTTACATAAGAACCTCCCAAATGGGAGCTCACGAAGCTGGAGCTGGGGAGCAGCACAATTTCACGAGGGGTGACTTGTGTTTGTCCCAAACCTCCTCATCTGGCAGGAGGTGGGAACGCCTCTGTGACCCCACCACTACATTCAAGCAGCCACGGATCTCCCCAGCCCCCGAGGAGCTGGCAAAACCCAATGGGGTTTGCCTGAAGGTCTGGGCAGTAAAAAACAGAAATCTGATTTGTGGAGAGTTTGAAACAGGTAAGGAGGAGCCAGGCAAAGGTGAAGGTAAAGATCTCACCGCGTGAACAAACTTCTCAAATCTGAGCTGCTCTCAAGGAAAAGGGAAGCGAGGCGGGCTGTGCTCTCCATACGATGGCTCGTCCTCCTGTTCCTTGAGGACAACAAGCAGCACTTCCCAGTTTTTCTTCTCAGGGGAGACGTGTCAGCATTTATGGCACACGTCAGGGCTGCCCAACCCGTACAAAAGCACAGCTGTCACCCCGGTCCCTATCCTCCCTCCACCCCGCCAGGAGCTGGGAGCAGCAGATAGCAAACAGAACGATTCTTCCTGAAAAGAAAGTTGCTGGAGAAGGAGGTTGTGCTCATCCCCTTGAGGCCACCCTCAGCTGCACACCTCCAACACAGGGCCAGGATGTGTTGGAGCACCACCCTATTTCCAAGGCAATGCAAGCACTTCCCTTGAGCTGCGTTAGCAATTTGTTTGAACGTTTCCTCTAGAAGAGGGGGTTGTCAGAGAAGCACCCTGGCTTTCTAAAACCCCACGGACTGCCACAAATGGGGATTCTGACCGGCTGGGAGCACGCCGCAGCCAGGAGGGAAGGGCTAGATTAGAGGCAGGAGATCTGCTGGGCAAGGCGTTTGTTTTAACCTGCGGGAGGGGCACTGGGGACAGGGCCCAGGCAGAGAAGGAGCCAGCTGGGTCTCCTCACTGAATGCTGATCTAATTTCAGGGGTAATTATTGCTCAGCCTTGTTCCGGAGAGCACTTGTAACTACACCGAAGGCTACCAAATATTCCAGCATGCACTCGCACTGCCATAGCCGCTTTGTTATTACCATCATTCCCCCTCCCCAGTGCACCCTTTTCTGTCTCAAACTGGCAGATGCCACACACCTGGAATCGAAGCCAAACGCTCACAAACTCACCTGCTACATTGAAAAAAAAAAAGATTTGTAAAGGATGTTTTTATACACAGGGTGCGTGGTGCACCTGGCACCTGCCGGGACGTTAAGAGGGGCTGTGCAGGCACCGCAGGCACCTCAACGAGCGCCCTACAGCCCAGTGCCAGCCTAACGCGCCCGGGAAGCTTTACCAAAATCCCTCCGGGCCTGAATCTCGCTCAGCCTTTCCCCCGTGTGCGTTACAGAAGCGTTTAACTCCCAAAGCCCGGTACCGAAACGCTGCGGGGGCTTCCACCGCTCGGAGCCCTGAGGAACCGACCTGAAAAACCGACCGCGGGGCGGCCGCGCTCACCCCCCCACCCCCACCTCCACCCCTGCCCCTGCCCCAGACCCCAGGGCCCAGACCCCCCCCAGGCCTCAGCAGCGGGGCCGAGCCCCGGGGCCCCGCTGACAGCGCCCGGGGCCCCCCCCAGCCCCCGGTAACAGCGCCCGGAGCCCCCGGAGCAGGCCCCGGAGCTCCCCTAGGAGGCCGCGGCCCCCCCCCAGCCCCCCGGAGCCCCCCCACTCACGCAGGAGGAGGCCCCGCGCCCGGGCCCTGCCGCCGCCGCCGCCGTTCCGGGAGGCACGGCCGGAAACGCTCCCGGAGCTCTTCCGGGTCGCGGCCCCGCCGCTGGGCCGGGGGGGGGGGGAACGGCGGCGGGAGCGAACCACCGCGGGGCGGGGGGGGGGGGGGAGGCGGGGAGAGGCGGGCTGGGGGCGGGGTGTACCACTGCGGGGCGGGGGGGGGGGCTGTGAGGGGAGTGGGGAGGGATGGGGAGGGATGGGGAAGGGATGGGGAAATGATGGGGAAACGGGGAAAATTGCGCGTTAATAAAAAGTGGGAGAAAGAGGAGAGCGGTGTGCTTCCCTCAGAGCCCCGCTGTTACCTCACAGCGCTCAGGCTGCTCGCTGTGCAGTGCACACAAACACACCTGGGTCTTACACCGAGTTCCCATGTAGCCCCATTATCCCTGACGGGTCTGTGGTGACACAAACCCCGGCTGTGACTGTCCCCGCACAGCTTTAGCCCAGCACTCACACCGCAGTCGGGGTGCGAGCTGAGCTGGGCACACGCTGTGCTCCCCATGGCGTGGGAGGCACACGCACGGCGTGCGAGCACACGGACAAGTTCCACATTCCTCTCTGAGGCAGCTGGGATCCTGGCTGTTTGTGTTTTTTTTCCTAACTCTGCGTGTCTGATCCCAACCCCAATGTTCCAGCCCTGCTGGGTGATGGCAGGCACGTAACGGAGGAAGGATATTCCCCCTCTCAGTGCCCTTCCCTCAGCCACGGTTTTCTGCCCGCCTCGGCTGGCCTCAGGGACAAGGAGCAGGGCCCCGGCTGATGAACGCGGCCGGGAGCTGTGTGCGTGTCCTCACAAACACTCGGCTCATTGTCAGAAAGGAGACCAGGGCAGAAAACAAGCTCCTTTTCCTGAAATCGCAGAGCGGAGAGAAACCTGTGCCAGCGCCGCAGCCTGCTTGTGGGTCAGCGAGGGGTGGCTGCGGGGCGAAAACCCCGCTGAAGCAGCAGCAGCTGCTGAGCACAGCCCATCCAGACTGGAAAGAGATCCACACCAAGGCTACGATGGCCCTGTGCTGTTAAGGGATGAAATTTTAATCACACTTTGCCAATTTGCTGGTCCCTGGAGGTAGAAGTGGCACGTGTTGCCCTCTGCTCCCACCCCTGCTCCTGGGGGCAGTCCCCGGCTGGCAGTGGCACGCTGCGGCAGGCAGAGCTCAGGGGCAGCCTGTGGCACGGGCAGGGAAGCCTCTGCCTCTTATCAGAGGACGTAGCTCCCCGTAAGCCACTGTAAGCATCATCTTTTTGGCAGCGCTGTCAACTAAAAGCTAGCCGGGAACAAAGGGAAGAGCTTCACGGCTGGGATAACTGGGGGCTCTTCCAGCAGCCTACCCGCACAGCACCATCAATGTCAGCAGGAAATTTCATCCCAGAGATTAAGGGCTGAGCCACGAGCTGAACAGCGCGTGTTTGGAGCCGGAGGGGGGAGCGGGGACAAGCAGCACCAGCCACCATTTCTGCAAAACCCCCCGGGGCCTGGAGGCTCACAAGGGCAATGTCAGCAGCAGACCATCCTCTGAGCCTAGGGGCACCTCGTGGTTCACTTGAGCACACGAAAGATGGCAGTGCCAGAGCGAGCACCCGTCCTGCTTTTCACAGGGCTGCACCGGAGCGGTTTGCCCGCCGCAGCTCCAGCTGGCACAGCCCCAGCCCCTGCTCCAACGCGGCACAGTTGAACACGGCACCCAGGGCGGCCGCAGCAACGTGCAGGACTGGACTCTGCAAGCAGCCAGCTGTGCAAGCACCGCTGTGAAGCACACTCCGCCGCTGCGCATGCACAGCCTCTCCCCGGGTGGGGAAAGGTTTGTTTTTTTTAACAAAACCTGAAATGTAAAGAAGAGCCAGGGGATGCAGAGGAGCACAGCAGCACAGGATGCTGCTGCTCACAGACGGCAGCCACTGGAGGATCCAGGCAGCTGCTCCCCGTGCAGGCAGCCCCGTACTGGCAGCAGCAGTGCTGGCGGGGAGGTGTCAAGGCAGTACCCGACCACCTTACTCCTCACCGGATACTCACTGTTAAACAAAACGAGTATTTTCCACAGCTTTTTGCCTTGGCTCACCCTGCTGTGGGCAGCGCCAGCCCACCGGGAGGGCGCCGGGGCCAGCGTGCTCGTTGGCTGATTTTGTTCCCGAGGAGCGCTGCTCGCGCCTGGGTGCGAGCCCTGCGCCGGAGAGAGACATAAAATACGTGACTTTCTCCGTACAGCTGCTGGGTGAAAACAAAACCCCCACATAGCACACAGAAAACAACAGAGGCTGTTATTATGCGGGTTGTCACGCAGGAGAGGGGCTGTCCCCCCCGGCCTCCCCCTCTGGCAATGCAGTAGAGCCCAGAGCTGCCGACCACTTGTAGCACTCCAGCAAATCCCGTAGGGAAGCTGGGTAGAGAATCGCAGCGTGCTGTAAGGTTTTGCTTTCAAATCTTGTGAGTGAGAGGAGAATCCTGGCGTGCCCCCAGCCGTGTGCGGGACGTGCGTCGGGTGCACGGCTGTGCAGGAAACCACACCAGGACCAAGTTGAAGAGCGGCAGGCTGCTGAATTCCCACTAAACCTTCAGAAGCTGCCAGGGAAGTTTCTAAAAGGGATGCAGAGACGGTGTCTTCTGCGAGATCGCATGCTGTTGTGGGGCCAGCAGCCACGATGGCACACGACAGCCTTTTTTCTCACCACCAGCAGTACAGACAGGTCGCACACCGCTCAACACGGCTGGCACCCTACAAAGGACGGGGACCCAGGCGTGGCAGGGTGCCTGCAGACACCCTCACCTCCCCACCACCTTTTCTCCCCCTGGGGTCCCCCCAGACGTGCCCGCCGTGTCCAGCCCGTGGTGGATCTGTTTGGGGAAGGCGTGAGGCAGGGCAGACAGGAGCCAGCGCCTGACTCACCGTCTATCTGAGCGAGGCTCCTCACCTCCGCGGGACACCGGCACACCCACCATAAAGCCCTATCTATCTCTGCCGCTCAGCAATTCTTCGTTAAGGCACTCGCAGATTTTCAGCACGAAGGCCATTGCGTGAGGGTGACACGTTGCAAAGCTCCAGAGGGCTGGGGGGGGGGGATTTGGGAGGCGTTTTGGGGAAGGTGCCGCGCTGCAGGGCTGCTGAGGGGTGCCTGAGTGTGAATTCTGTGTGTATGGGTGCTGCTGGGTGGGGAACGGCTCGGGGAGAGCGGCCTTTCCAGGGGCACTGGGGAAAATGGACTTTCACTGCCCGTCCCCGGGGGAAAGGCGTTTGGGCTGCAAAGTGCTGGGGGCCTGCCAGCATGAGACTCGGTGGTGTGTTTTGGGGTCATGATGGCGCTGTGAGGGTCCATACCCCTCAGTGCCATCGTGTATCCCTCAGAGCCACCATGTCCCCCTTTAGAGTCATTGTGTCCCCCTCAAAGCCATCGTGTCCCCTTCAGAGCCATCGTGTCCCCCTCAGTGCTGTGTCCCCCTCAGAGCCATCGTGTCCCCCTTTAGTGCCATTGTGTCCCCCTCAGAGCCACCACATCCCCCCTCAGGGTGCCACCACAGCAAGGCGCAGCACCCAGAGCCACCCCCGTCCCACCCTACCCCAAAACGGACGAATTTTTAAAAAAACCACCCAAACACCCTCAATCCACGTTAAATTCAGCCTTTATTGCCCAGCAGGTAACGTCCCTCTGGCAGTGGGGGGGGCACACACAGCCCCCCCCCCTCCCCCCCCCGCCGCCTACGTGCGCCCCGCCACTGCCCTCATGGCCCGGCCCCGCGGAGCGTACCAAGGGCCGGCGGGGGGGGGGGCACAACGGAGGGGGGGGGGACGGACCGGGAGGGACACGGGGAGCTTGTGGGGATAACGGAGGGGCCGGGGGGGGCCGGGGGCTCGGAGCGGCGGGCTCGGAGCGGGGAAGGGGCGGGGTGAGTGCGGCGGGCGGGCCGGCGGGGCCGAGTGGTTGCTGCCCGCCTCACGGACGTGCAGAAGCGAACGCGCTGTCACCGGGGGGGAGGGAGGTAACGAGGGAGCGCGGAGCCGCGGGGGGGGGGGCGGGGAGGAGGGGGATTCCTATTGGTCGGCGCGCCTCGGGGGCGTGTCCCGGCGGCGGGCGGGCGGCGCGCCCATTGGCTGCGGCGGGGAAAGGGGCGGGGCGAGGGGCCGCGGCGCGCGGCGTGGGCCGGGCCGGGGGCAGAAGGGAGAAGTTGGCGGCGGCGGCGGCAGCGCGGAGCGGAGCCGAGAGGGCAGGTGAGGGACGGGGCGGGGAGGGGCGGGGGGAGCGGGACGGGACCGGGGGGAGCGGGAGCGGGGGGAGCAGCCCCCACCGGAGGGTCCCGGCGCTGCAGGAGGGCCCCGCCGCCACCCTCCAGGAGCAGGTGAGCCACTGACTAACGCACATTGTGCTCTCGGCGACCCCACTGTGCGTGTGACAGCGGCTAACCTGCTCCTCGGGCACCGCTGGGCGGCCGCCGCCTCGCCTCAAAGCGCCTCGCCTCATCACACCTCGCCTCGCCGGCACGACGCACACCCAGGAGATGCCACCCGTCCATCTGTCCGTCCAGCCTTGCCCAGCCTCACCGCCACCATCCGACCTGTGGGTGACTGCCCATCACCAGCCACACCGAGCCTCACAGCTCCCATCCGTCCGTCCGTCCATCCGTCCGTCTGTCCCACCCAGAGTGACTGCCCAGCAAGGAGTTGGTGGCGAAGTTGCACGGGTGAAGGAGAGAGGTTTTTTTTTTTTTAACCCCCCCTCTCTCCGCCCCTGCTCGTCTCCAAAGTAAATACGTGCTCGTGGCCGCCGTACCGAGTTCAAGAGGCGCTTTATCCCAGCCGGTGACGTCTTGATACCCAGTCAGTGACTAACTGAACTGCTATTGCCAAGGGTGTGTTAATAGAAGAAACCATGCCTGGTATTGCCCTGGATGAGTCACCTTTAAAGAGAGACTCTGTAATCTGTTAAATGAGGAGCAGAAAGGAGCCTTGCTTTCCTTTTTTTGCTGTTGCTTGCTTCCCATCCCACCCCTCACCTTTGCTCCCTCCTTTCTGCTTCAGGCGCTGGGGGTGTTTGGGTCCCGGCCGGGCTGCCCTGCACGCTCACGCTGTGATATCACACGGGGGACTCTGACTTCATGGCCTGAGGAGCAGGAAGGCGAACGGGCAGGGACTCCTCCAGCTGTGCAGGGCAGCTGTCACTTGAAATCGAGGAAGTGACGAGGCAAATTGCTTCTTGAGCAAAGTTCTCTCTTTCGCTTTTGAGCCCATTGAAGGAGCTGGGTGGTTGAAAAGTGTCTTTTTAGAGCACGGCTCGGCTTTATCTCCTGCTTAAGCTAATAATAACCAGATAGGATTCGCTGCAGCCCTCCCAGGTTTCCTGAAAGGGTTTTCTGAAAGGTAGCCTCTCTTGCTTGGGCTGCTGGCATGTAACCCCGGACTGCTGTACAGGCATAATCTCTTGAAGGACTCAGCAGCGCTCTGCTCAGTAAGTACTTAACCACACAGAAAAGCAGAGCGACATCCTTCCTACAGAGCAAGTCTCTTATAGAGAAATTCTGCCTGTCCCCATCTCCCCTGCCTGTGCTCATTTGACATTTCTCCCGTCAGGTCCCAGAGGAGCGTCTGCTCTTCAGAAAGGAAAATCAGTTCCTTGCGTGCCTCGTGCTGCCTAGGTGAGTCAAGGCACACCAGAAAGTGAGGAGAACTGCCTGAGTTTACCAAAGCTGCTTTCACATTTGCTCAGTAGCCAAATGGGTCATGTCTGACAGTGGAAAAAACAAATTCTCAGCTTTCCTGTTCCCCAGCTGCGCTTTCCAGCTGCAGAGCTGCTGCTCTCTGAGCTGGCAGGGGTACTGGTGTAGCCATGGGGAGATCAGGGTGGGGGTAAACCTGCAAGATAGCAGTACCTGCAAGATACCAGTATGGGTGGCTGTGTCCTGACAGCGCATCTGCGTGCTGAAACTGAAGTCTGCCAGTGCTGTACCACCTTATTTTACAGGTAACAAACCCATGCCCGAAAACGAAGGCGCTCTGCTTCTCTCTGAAGAACTAGCCCTGCGTTCTGCCCCGTGCTGCTCAATGCCTAACTGCTGGAGGTCCCACCAGCAGAAATGGCTCTGCAGGTCGCCCAGTTGCTCTGGCAAGGTTTGTCCCAGTTCGCATCAGGCAGCACTCGCTATGAAAACTTGCAGCTTCCCGCTACCTACGAGACCATCCTGTTGAGCTCCAGCAAGCAAAGGCGAGGGATTGAAACGAGGTTTGTTTGTTTTCCCTTTTTTTGTGTGTTTTTCTTCAGTATTTGGGGAAAGCATACGGCTGAATTCCTGTTTTTAACATTCTTCTGGCATGATTCAAAACTAACCTGCTGTGCTGTCACCTGAAATCTTCAATAAATGGTGCAAAACCAGTGTTTGGGTGCTCGTTACTCTAACCTGGGGCTCAGGACAGAGCCGAGCAGCTCTGTAAGGTGGCTTTGGTTACCCTGACCAAACGTAGAGGAAGGCTGTGCCCGCTCAGTGAAGTACCTGTCTGATGTGTGCCACACGCTGCGTGCCTCCCATCTCCAATTTTGCCTTTCTAGTAAGAGAAGGCAGCTTGAAAAGGAGGGGGGAATTGTCTCTCAAGCCAAAACCCTAGTGCTGGTGCCTTTGCCCCTGCCCTAGCCCAGGAGCCCTTTCTAAATTTGGAGCCTGCGGAACCAGGGCTGCTCTGAAGAGTGCTCCTGAGCGATGAGAAAATACACCAGGGCTAGGGCGTCCCTTCATTTAAGCGTTCAGCTTGTTCAGCAGCCAGTAACCAGATTTGTAAGGTGATACTTCGGTAACCAGAGCATCCAGGAGCTAAAAGATCCTGCTGAGAAGTGATGCGGTAAGATTTTGGGGAGAGGTGTGCCTTACAGGCAGGGCAGATGCTGAAAGTCAAGCAGGCCTGTTAAGCCAAAGGGACTCTGTGCACCTCAAAGATTTCGCTCTTCTATTTCAGCACTTCGCAGAGGGAAGCGAGCAGCTGTAACCTGTCGTGCACTGGGCTAGGAAGCACCTAGCGTGCTCTGTCGATAGCGTGCCAGGGGCAAATCAAAGCTGTGAGTCTCTCCAAAGGAGCGAGCTGGCCTGTCAGGAAAAGAAGGGCTACATGAATTGTTTAAGAGGAAGCCGGTTAGTTACATGTAAGCAGGGACTTATATAATACATCTCAAAAAAAAAAAAGATTTCTGCTGGCAGGAGGTTCCGTTGGGAAAGAAACTTGCTCATCCATAAACAAGAAAATTTCCCGGCTTCCTCTAGTGCTCTGTGATTTTTTTTTTTTCCAGGGCAAGGTAGAATGTGCTTGGTCTTTGCTGTGAGACACAGAAAGGAAAGCCATCACTGTGAGGACAGGCAGCGCTCTGCGTGGACAGAGACGTGCACACATACCAGTTCAGATAGTTTCCCTTCTCTGGCTTCAGTGAGCTGCCCTTCCAGAATCTGCACACCCGGGAGCGACAACCAGAGCATCTGCACATCATTCAGAGAGCAAAACCAACAGGCAGTTTCTCCTCCAGTCATTCACACCTTTCCTTATGTAACTGGTGCTGAAGCGTGTGCTTTAAAAGCTGCTTGCCAAATCCAGGGGCTGGGAGGAAGCAGAAATGCTTCTAGCACTCTAGATGAATTTAAAAAGAAAACACAGAACCCACCAGGACACCCAAACCCTGGGGAGCACATCCAAACACGCCGCTGCTCACGGGACGTTTCAGGTGGCTGCAGCAGAGTTGTCCTTTGAGAAACCATTCCAGGTTGGTGCAGCGCTGGTACCCCGAGCTGCCCTTAAGCATGCCTGGCTTTGCGAGCAGTCACAGTATGGGTAGATGGGTGAGAAACTGAGAATCATCGTCACACAGCACTAAAAAATAAATCAGGTTTTGTCACACACTGAGCGGCTTCAGGAGTGGCACAGGGAAACGACTGAACCTGAGCCTGTGGCTGAACTCCACTCCTGCCCCATGCCTTGTGCTGAGAGAGCCTGTGGGTACCTCACAGGTCTCAGGAAACACCACCAAAAAAAGGCTGCACGTGGGAGATGTACCCTGTGCTTTGTGGTGTTTGGGTGGCAGTGAGCGAGCCGCATCCCACAGTAGGGGAAGGAAGAAGCTGTCCTGCTGCCTTCGGTGCCCGGGGACGCAGGGACACGACTGCGGCTCGCCCAGGCACAGCATCCTCAAGCCACCCTACGTACTTGGATCGCTGCCTCGCCTGCCACTCACTTGTTCACTCTCCAGGAGGCGTCGTATGCTGGGCTTGATTTTTTTTTTTTTTAAAGAAAAATAATAATTTGCTTTGTTTTAATCTCACAATGAGTAATTCCTTCCTACCCCTCAGTAGTGGCCTAGAAAAGGACAGCATCATCTCCACTGTAGCAAGAAGGCTTCTCCCAGGGCATAAAATTTTAATTAGGAACAATCATGCAGCCTTGAAATGGGAATTGCAAGCAGCGAAAAGTCAAATCATCAATAAAATATTCAATGGCAGGAATGTATTATTGACACAGCCTTTAGAGCAGATAAAAGCAGGAAGGCAGAGAGCTGCGGCGAGCCTCACCCGGTTAAACACCGCGCGCGGCGTTAAGCTCAGGCTGGCGGCACTGGATGCAGGACAAGCAGCCTGGTGCTCCCTGGCCAGATCCGAATTCGGGAGCCCAGGGGGTGCCACCGCCTCCCTGAAGCGTGGGGCCCCTCGTGCCACGATGAATTTAGGTCAGCGCCGCTGAGCCGCGCGGCGGGGGTACGACAGGGCGGGGGTCCGGGGGCTGGATGCAGTCAGTCGTTCATTACCTTAAGGAACTCGCCGCCTTTGTGGCTGCTGGTTTTGTAGAGAAAAATAAACGAATCTATCCACAGAACGCCACCAGGCTCTTGCCCTGCGTGTCGGTAACGCAGCGTGCCCCGTGGGACAGCCCTCGGGCTGCCTTTCCCCCAGCGCAGAGATGTGCAGGGCGCTGGCGACGGCTGAAAATCCAGGGCTAGTGCGTGGCCGCAGCACTCTCTCCCCAGGGACACCCAAACCCGCAGAAAATCATCTTCAAAACAACACCCAAACAACCACCCCGTAAGCGGTAAGGCAGGGCTAGAATCAGAGATTCCACCGCCGCTGAATTATTTCTGTGGTTTCCCCCCCCTGCAGGAGGTGCTGTCAGCGACGAACCTTTTCTCTTTATTCCTCTTTGCACACAGCAGAACTACAAACGGGGTCCCCAAATGAAAGAACCCCCTTTTTCAACCCGCAGATGCCAGGTTTGCAGGCACACTGACCATTTCTGCAAACACCTCGAGTTCTCAGGGCTGGTTCGGGGGAAATGAGGCAGCCAACGCTAAGGTACTCGGCCAAGCAGGGGCAAACAGCCCGCATGTCCCCAGAGGAAAACCTGGCCGCGGCCAAGGCAAGCAGTTTTTCTGAACCTAGGGTTTGGGGTTTTTCCACAAGCAGCACTGAAATGCTCTTTACAACCTCCATCATGCCCCAGCACTTCCCTCGGAGTCTCGTTTTGAAAGCAAGAGTAGCAAGAAGTTCAAAAAACAAGCAATCAGCGCTCTGGCCGCAGGGGACAGACTTCGTCATGCGGCTGCACGGAGCAAACGTATTTTTAACACATTTTTTCCCAACGCACGTTTCCAACTCCAGCGATTCGAGGGGGGAAAAAAAGGAAAAAAAGGAAGAAAATCTCAGTTCCAAAAGGACAACCCTGAAATCGCATCTCCTCGCTGTTCTTCGGGACTAATCGGAGACTCGGCACTGGCAGCGGCCTCCAAACGAAGCAGACTAATCCTTAAACGCCGCGTAGCCAGCTGCTGAAGGGCAGCAGGCACTCACGCAGCGAGCGGGGGGCTCTGCCGCGCCGCCCTCGACGGCTTTCCTCTCCCCCACGAATATTTCACTCGCCCGCAGCCGCCCCTCGCTGCGGCACGGGGAAAATCCTGCGGGACGCCAGCGGCCGCCGTCCCCACGCCCGCTGCGGTGGCACAGCTGTGCTGGGGGCTCGCGGGCACCTCCGAAAAGGGCCGGGCGAGCACGTCCAAGCGGGGTCAGAGAGCAGCAGAGCCTCGGTCCACCCTCGGGTTCCCTCGGGGAGATGCTGGTGGGGAGAGAGCCGGCATTACCACGTGTACCCGGCCATGCCGCTGGGACAGATGGGAGGGCGTAAAGGTGAACAGGAGGCTGGCCCCTTACCTGCTCATATCTGCAGCCACGTGCCGTCCCCTTCTCCTCCCGTCCTAAAATGCTCCGCGCCGCTGCTGTGCATTATTAACAAGCTGCCATGTTTCATCCTGGAGACGGCTGCCTTCTCGGCGGACACCAGCTTCATCCACTGTGTGTAAAGCACTTTGTGATAGAAAAGGGGGGGGAAAAAAGAAAGAGCAGCATGTGCATAAGCAGCATTCAGTCATAAAATACTTACGGCTTTAATTCCCTGAGGAAAGAGGCCGCCGTGGAGTACGTGAAGCGCTCGCCGTGCCCCGTACCTGCCGCGGGGACGGCTGGGCTCCAGCAGCACGTGCACACTCGCTTTACACAAATCCTTTCCAAAAGATTTATTGAAAATTGAAACCAGACAATGCCGTAGCGCGCAGGATACATTCATACACAGAAAGTGTGTTTTACAGCGAACACAGCGTCCAAGTCACATTTTTTTTTGCATACAACGGAGAGGACACGTGGAAAACAAAGACACCGGAGCGCTGGGACCCCCTGGACAAACCTGTCCCCTCCCCGGGCCCCCTTGGCCGCTTTGGCTTCACAACTAAAAATACAGCAGAACCCAGTGGGACAGATGAACAGAAACAAGAGGAACTACTGGCCATCAAGGAAAAAAAATAAGAAACACAACCAAAAAAACACAAACCAAGAAAAAAAAAAACATTCAGTGAAATGTCACCAAAAGCGTTTCTGTCCTGCACACTCCGGCCATGGGCAGCTGGGGAGGGGCTCATCCTGCTGGCAGAGTACTGATTCAAGAACAAGTTTAAAACTAAGTGGACTTAAGAAAAAAAAAAAGTCTCCACACGTGTCCCTGTCTCCTCAAAGCCTGGTTGTCCCTTCTGCAGCCAGGGAACGGCTGCTTGCTTCTCCCTCCCTCTTAGCACCATGGAAAGGGGGTTTCTAGTACAGGTTTCTTACAATAAAAAAGGGGGGCAGAAAGTTGTCTAAAAAAGCTGCTCGTGAGCCCCCTGGCCAGTATAAAGGCTGTTTGTAAAACCCACCAACCCATCTGATAGTCCCAGGGCATCTCCACACTCTCTGCTTCCCCCAAAAGTCTCTGGCTCAGGCAGCCACCCCGGAGCAGGTGCACGGTGAGGATGGAGACGTCAGCAGGGCAGCCGTGCCTAGATAATTCCCTCTGCTGCCCCAAAACAGGGCTTTTTGGGGCTGCTTCAGGATTTGGGGAGCACGCAGCCCCTCCAGGTCATGCAGACATCCACAGGGGGTCGAACCCAAGGAGGGCAGCTTGGCAAATGGACTATCCACGCCGTGCTTCTGCGCGAGGCGGGCAGGGCAGGGTGCTGGTGGTCACAGGCAGCTGGGTCGGCCCCAGGACGGGTGTGTGCCTCGTGGCAGGGGTCGGCTGCTCTGGAGCGAGCACAGCTGAGGGATTGCCGCAGCACAACATGGGACACAGCCCGGACTCCGGCAGCTCCTTCATCGTCCTCGGCGCTGGGGCTCGCTGGGGAAAGCGCACCAAAAACGTGGCACCAGGTCCCGCTGTTCACTTCGCCTGCTTCATCGGGTGAGGCTCAGCAGCAGCCCGAGGGCAGGTCTCTGCCACAGGAGATGTCGGCCCAGCCGTCCCGATGCAGCTCTGCCCCGCTAGCCAAAGGGACGAGGGCTTCTCGAAACACACCGCGGGTCTTTGGGAAGGCCCCGCGGAACGTGAGCGCTGCCACGGTGTGTTAAATACGGAGAGCACTTTAAAAAAATAGAAGGGGGTTGTTTCATCCACGGGGGAAGAGGGATGCTTTGTCTGGTCGATCTCGGTCTTATAGTACAGTCTGTAAAAATACTCTGTCTGGCCATCCACATCCATTCATGATATAAAGTAGTAAAAAATATAATATATATATATATATATACGGAATATGGGTTTATTTATACAGTTACACTTGCAAGGCAATCAATCGTCCACTGGCTGTGCCCTTCTACCTCCAGATGCTCTGCCTGGTTGATAGGACTGCAAGACAGACAAAAATAAACGGCGTGACCCCAGGGCAGCGGGAGGGTGAGCGTTCCCAGAGAGCAGCACAGCACAGACGTGACGTGTGCGAGCACCGTGCGCCTGCAGCACGAAACCCAGCAGAGATGGACACACAGACACCACGGTCACAGCGTCGGGTGAGATGGAGGACGGATGGTTTGGCCCCGAGGTGGGCAGAAACAGGAAGCCGAATCCTCCCCATCCTACCCTCAGCAAGGGCTTCGCCCCGCAGCGCTGCAGGGCCCCCCGACGGCCCGAAAGCCGCCGGCAGCATCCCAGGAAACTGTGCCCGGAGGACCGCAGATGGCCCCGCACGCCGGGGACTGCTTCGGATGCCACACCACTGGGCTCACCACCTCGCAGGCTGGCCGGGCACAGGCACTGCTCTCCTAATGGCCTCTATAAATAGCTCCGGCCTCCCACTCCCAGCACACGCACGCAGGCTTGCTCGCCACGGCCCGTTCCACGCAGCGAACCCCTCTCCCCTTCCCGCAGGCCCTCCCCGGGGATGTACGCACCCTCGGGGTTCAGGCTGGACACCAGGGGCTCCGGCAGGGTCCGGGGATGGCCGAGGAGCTGCTTGGTGCTGGCGCGGGGAGGCGAGTCGCTGCCAGAGGGGGGAAACCCTGCGGGAGAGGAAAGACACCCAGCTCAGGCGGAGCTCGCCGGGCACCTGGGACTCACGGAGCGTGGATATCCCTTGGGAGAAGGGACCAGATCCCCGTTTTCCCCATCCCCCCACTCCATGGAAGGCCATGTAGCTGCTCTCAGTCTCTCCCCCATCCCTAACACAACGCTGCCGGCCTGGCCTCCGTCCCCGCAGCGCCCCATCCCGAGGGCTGTGCCATGAAAGCACAGGCACGGATCACGGGGAGCTGAGCCGCATGGAGCCCAGGGGGAGGAGGAGGAAGGAGCCGGGGCCATTGGGGAGACATTTGGGGTCGCAGGGCAGCCCCCCGTGCCGAGCCGGCGCGCTGACCTCCGTTCCTCCGGCAGGCTGGCAGCTCGCGCGGGCTCGGCTCCGGCTGGGCGTCCTCCTCAGACCTGGCCTGCCCGACCGTCACCGTGGCTCCCGTCTGCTGAATAAACTGCTGCAAATTACACTGCCTCAGCTCCTTATTTAACTCCTCCAGCTCTTGGTTCTGGGCCTGCAAAACACATTGGGGGGGACAGGGTGAGCTGTGTGCCCCCCACACTGCTCTGCGCCTCCTCCCGAGGCCCCAGCCCCGCTCCCTGGCTCATGTCAGGGACTCGTCCCCCATGGGGACAAGGCCACGCCACCAC